GTGATATTCAGTATCAGTCAAAATAGATTCTGTGTATCACGCTTAAACTCGCCATAAAACACGTCCAGAAAATACAGTCCTGTCTGAGACGCAACTTGTGTAAAGAGTACACGTTGCGCCAGTGTTTGATTCAGCGGTCGTCAGATCTGTTACTTAAGTTACAAGTAAGTCCTGCAATGAAAATCTTAACATAACAGAAGTATCAGAAAAACATACATCAGATCAAAAGTAAAAGTAATCATTCTGTAGCAAAATGGCCGCCTTGACTTATATATTATAATACATAACATTATTAGATTATTAATACCGATACATCAGTGTGTAAGTCGTGATTTCTGGAAAGAGACATTGCTGTTGTGTGCTCAAACATATTTTTTGGCCGCTTTGAGCACAAGCCGAGTGCCATCTAGTTTCACTATGTTAAAGAGAAGGCAGACATCTCTACGGCCGATATCTCCAACACTCTGCAACTCACACCAAAACAATCCAGACTGATAAACAGCACTACAGGTAAGAGGAAAAATATGGATTGTTGATTTTTGGGATGAACTGTCCCTTTAAGGGTCAGCAGATATATCTGAGGGGTCATGAGATGATAATAAAGTTCAGCTACACCCTTTTTTCAAACTTTTCTATCATCTTTTTTTCTTCGGGCCTCAAACTATTATCTAAATAAAATCATTTCAGCAGTTTAAAGGGGAAATGTGTCTTTGGTAGAGCTGCTAACAACGTCTGAAACATGGCAACCAGATGCTGTTTTTACAGCTGGGAACCACAAGTGTAATCTTGTATGTGTTGTACTTTATGGGCTTATCATACATTCTAATTCTAACTTGTAAACTGACTGTCAAATAAATGTGGTGGAGTAGAAAGTACAACATTTCCCTCTTAAATCAATTACCTCACACTTAAGCTCAGCTCTTTAGTAAACCTACTTGATTTTAAGAGTCTAGCTGAGGACAATCAGCTCATTACACAACCGCGCTCCTGCAGTCGCTCTGAGGACAGGTGGCAAACTGAAACTGACTGAGGGAGTGAATGTTAGATTTCAGAAGCTTTCCCGACAGTAATATATATCTCACTTTGCATGTCAGCTTGGGCCATGTGACCTGTGACATTCCGGCTGAGGATATAGACGATGTAATGTAGACACCTCTTCGTTACACTAGCCGGCCGTGGAATGCGAATGCCAATATTCACCTCCGGAAACTAGCCGAACTAGCTTTTGGCTTTTGTCACAAGGGTAGCTTGAGTTCATACGACAAGAGAGGTTGTGCAGGGGAAACGTTTAGGTCGGTGAACCAGTGAAGCACAAGCAATTAAATTATTGACAATTAACTTGGAGGCAAGCAGAAACTTTCCTCTATAGTAGGAGACAACTTACATGTTGTCAAGTGTTACAAACCTAACAGTTAAATCAATTTTAATGACTTGTTTAACTCGTAACTCTGGTGCCCTGAGGAGTTCAAAGTCCTGTGACAACATGACAAACATCTCAGTCCCCTCACTACGCAGCTCTTACAGCTCCTGGTATGTGGTTAAGTTGTAAACAACAGATCCACAGAGCAAACAAGGGCTTTTTATTCACACGTCCTTTGACATTTGCCGTGCTCCTGTTCCCCCTGTTTTCTCACGGGGTCAAATCGCAACACAGTGCTTCGCCCTCTCCCAGCTTGCTTCAACACCCTGTCACCCAGCAGTTAACCTTGTATTTCAAACGCTATAGGGAGCCACATTAAAACAGGCCTCTCCACCTGTTCCTACTTCCTGCACCGTGTCATTGTACATTGCCAACAGACGCAGTTTTTGCACGACTGAAAATGATCAGCCTGTTCATGGCCTCACTAACTACTCAGGGTCAAGCCCTTGGAGTCTTACTCTGATGTCTTTATCAGATGTGTGCACAGTGGACTCAGTCTGCACCACATCCCTTCATGCGTTATGTTGCTGCTAAGAGGACAGCTGCCGTCATTCACGGTATGCCTCTGTCGCTGCATACCGAGGAGCTGCGAAGACCTAGCATAATCTCCCTGGTGCGTTCAGATAGTTGGATGGCTAACAGAGACATATAGGCCTGCTGATCTATACATCCAGAATTTTATTGGAGGATGCAGCCAAATAATGTATCTCCAGCTGCCAAGCAAATGTTTCACCACAAATATCTTGGTCTCCTGGATAAAGACCAAATGTTGGCATTAGGCCTACATCTTGCTGCAAACCACAAATACATTTCATTTGCATGTTTCATACGTATCATATCAATGTTTCCAAAGCAAAGTAATATATAGGCTTAGCTGACTTTCGTCATCGGGAGGTGGAGGGCATGGTGGGTAGTGTGTCACCGAGGTGAGATGCCTGCCAAGCAGCAGACCACTGTTGGAAACCAGCAACACTTGTTGTTTTTTACAGACCCTTTGCTGCAGTCCCACTGGTGTTTGACATTTGTGGCACTGAGCCTGGGCATGTTTTACGGAACCTGGGTGTTTTAGCAGCACTTCAAAGCGTTCCCCAGTGGCAAGTGAGCCACCGAACCTGGGTGTTTTTTACCAAAAAAAACTGTGGTGTTTCCAAGAAGCGTTCGAGCCACTGAACCTGAGCGTTTTTCACAGAAACACTGCGTTTCCAAGTAGCATCTGTGGCACCAGACCTGGGTGTTTCTTGCCAAACCTGGGTGTTTTGCAGCGACACATCACAGCATTTGAGCCACTGAACCTGGGTGTTTTTTCACAGAAACATTGCATTTCCCAGTGACAATCGGTGCACCAAACCTGGTTGTTTTGCACCAACACATTGTAGTGTTTCCCAGCAGCGTTTACACCACTGAGCTTGGGTATTTTTCACCATTTTCCAGCAGCATTTGTGGCACTAAACGCAGGTACTTTTCCCAGGGGCGTCTGAGCCACCAAACCTGGTTGTTATTCAAAGATCAGTCCCTGCTTCCACAGCGGCGTTCATGCCACCAAACGTGGGTCTTTTAAGCCAAAACTTGATCTTTTCCTAACCATAACCAAGTGACTTTCATGCCAAAACCTAACTACACCTTCACCACTGCATTGATGAGAAAAGTTTCAGTGTATCTGATACAAAATTATGTACGACTGTAACCGTATCTGTATACACATCTGTATTTGTGGTTTGCAGGAATGTACAATATAAGCAGTTTTTCTAGAGTTTTAGTGACAGTATAACAATATGATGTTACTAACAATTTGAGCCTTTAGGGCACTAATAAACAGTCTTGGATCTAAACTAGTAAATGACTTAAAAAGTAAATTATTTTTGGGAATACACCAGGAATAATGTCAGTCTTTGATATCGTCTAATGCAGCTCTCTAAACAGATTTCTGCTGCTTTGAACTGACCCATTTGGCCTTTGCACTGGCTGCACAGAAATCTGAGTAGATTACATGTGAAAATGATATGGAGAATATTCCATCCAGCTTGTGAGGGACCTGAGGGACCTATTATCATATTCATAATGCCAATCCAGTCCTTAAAAAACACGAACGTCCACGAAGGAGCTGTTCATGTTCGAACCATATAGTTAAAACAGAACTTCAACATAATGTGTCACATAATTTTGAGCTGGGGAAAGAAACAAAACTGTACGTTGAACACAATTATCAAAATGGGGGAAATGAACAAATGAGATTTTAGGAGGGAAAAAAAAAGTTTAACTGATCTTTAACCTTATTTCACCTTTTGAATACTCTGGAAAATACAAGAGGCCTGGCCAAGCAGTCACATGGGCTCACTTGGTGAAAGAAACTCAAAACCGACACCTTCTGCGTCCAAGAACATGTGATGCGAGGCACACAAACAGACTCAGGCAGAGGAAGACCACTGACACATCTTCACACGATTTTGCATGTTGAAAGCTACAGAAATCCATATTTTATACCACCTGTCACACATGTGATGACACAAGTAAGGCTGTCAGAGGAGAATACAAACATATTTAAGAGAAATGATGCAATGTGAAAACACAAAACTCACTCTAAGAACTCAACAAACACCACCTGATGAACCCCATCCACAACTCCTGGGGCTCCACTGTAAAAACCCATTCTGTTAAAATCTGCAGTGTCCAAAAGATCTGCCTTGCCTGCATGGAGCCAGGCTGTCTGTAGTCCCACACCTCTGATTTAGGCTACATGGATTAACGGCAGAGAAATGGTGGGGTATGAGCATCCACAGCATCACAGTATCTTGCCCATCTGCAATGAAGACATGAGCTAAAAATAAAACGTTGTCCTCGTGGGAGGAGGCATAGTGGGGATTGAGACGGCTGCAAAGTGTCCACACTGGACATTGCAGCCATGTGGCTCCAGGGAGATTATTCACCTGGCAGGTGAAGCCCTGTTATGATGCTCATGCGCAGTTTTCCCTCTCATACTGTACATACTGTAGCATAATAGAGTAGTAAAACACTACTTCCATGCTACATGTGCAACTTCACAACACAAACACGTTGCTCAAACGCACATATAATGCTGAGGAGCCGTAAATCTACCAAATCCAAATCTGTCCGAAGCTCAATTACAGGTCTGTGTTTATTATTAGAACAATAGCGCACATATCAAAACGCATCTTTGCATTTAATTTCTTCGGCAGAGCAGCTGATTATTTTGAGCAGGCCTCGCTTCATTTAGTTTGCAAACACACTTTTCATACCTTTAAAATGCTCCTTATCAAACGGCAGCCGAGTGAATCTGCGTTACTCGATAGAAAAGCGTTCAAGTTTCACCACAGTCCAAATAAGGAGGAGAAATTAACACCCTACACCAAATAGCTGAACTATAACCTTAAAATCGGGAAGATGCCTTCATCCACCACAAAGGTAAGAGGTGTCAAACTCACAGCCAGTTATGAGATAAAACAGCAGCAAAACGTAAAGAATCAAGTCAAAGCAAAACCTTTGAGTCTGCAGCCTGACAGGAAACTTTTATGTTCTGAGCTTCATGCGGGAGTCCTGTAGGCTCCTGTAGGTGCTGGGTTACCTTGCACGGTAAAGCAAATATTCCCACAGAATCCAACAAACTTGAAAAAAAAATCAAGTCTTCCGCGAAGCCTTCCACCGAGGACGTAATTCTCCCCTTCTGGCAGCCGGTGCGTGGCTGCAGGACAGCTGTTGCTGACGCAGTGGCGTCCCGCAGTGAAACCGGAGAGTCGCTCCAGGTAGGATCAGATCAGACCTTTGACACTTCAGCACCGGAACCGCTTCCCCGTTCCCACACAGCTGGTGGCTCCTGCGCGCATTTCCGTCGGCCAGGCGCTTTTACAACTTTGTAGTGAAGTGAAGCCAAACGGTGATCGAGCTGAAGTGAAGTAACCGCAGCGCACATGAAACGTCCGGGATGATCCTGCTGCAGCAACCGGATCTCTGCAAACTCCTCTCATCATGACGTTTTTTTTATTCTGCTGCTCTGCTCCAGAAATAATTTGTTATCACATATTACAAAACTACGGAGCCCCTATGGTCTCAAAAGATTATTATTTTTTTTTATTTCTTGTGCGCACAAGTTTTTAAATAAAGACCTTTTTGGACTTGGCAGACTCCGTACACAATGTATTAACTCTGTTATTGTTATAATGAAGTCAACGTTTTATCACATTCTTTATTCATAACTAATTCACTGGCCTGCATGTTTTATTAAATATATGTCATGTTGAATATTGGAATTTGTGCAATTAAATAGCCCAAGTGCCCAACACTTGCCATTTATACAGGAGACTTTTGTGATTTTGCAATTCAGTATTGCCAATGCTGACAAAAATAGTGAGCAACATTAGCTGGTTTTAACGTTTTTGAAAAGTGAGGGTTGACAAAGTCTCCATGGTTTTCTAGGTGATGAATTTGTTGCTGTTGTCCAGAGAGAAGTGGAGTGACGTGAGGTGAAGGATGACATCCTTTCTCTCTGTCAGGACATGTTGAATTATGAAAAGTTCCTTGTGTGTTTGATGCTTTGTGACAAACAAGTCTATATGAATAGCTTTACAGCACAAACAGATCGACAACAAAATTATTTGCACAAATAATTATTAAAGAAACAAGTCATAAAAGCACAATATTAGAAACTAAAGTCTGTTGCCGATAAAACCACCAGGGGGCAGCATAATGACGTTTTAGTCCTTTTATTCAAACAAACAATTGTATAAAACTTAAACCTTTATATCTTTTGATTTCTTCTGGATAGTAGGAAAAAAAATGTATCTTGAAAGATGTGTGGACACAATAGTAAAATATCAGTACTTGCACCCTCCTCTGACTAATGAAACAGTTAGTTGACATGCTCACAGCTGCAAAAAACGCCTTAAGGACCAATATTTGACATTCTGGCTCACAAATAACAGAAACAATCCATTTAAAGATGTTGGATTGAAGCTATTAAAGGTCAGACTATGCAGATGTTTGATTTTATTTGATCAAGTAACCTTTATATATGCAGTCAGAGGGAGAGGCCTGCACACAGTCTGATTGGGCGAGTCCTCCTGTCGACGTGAAGGCTATATTTGGCTGAAAGGTGTGTAGTATGATTATACAAGGAAAATGATATCTGTGATTACAAATGTTAACTGGGTGTCATCTGTTTCTTGGAAATGGAGCCTGCTGCAGATTTTCCCACCTTCTCCCCTCCCCGCTGTGAGCAAACTGCCCCAGTTTCAGGACAGGGTGCAAATAAAATGATTTTAAATATTGAAGAAGTTTGGCTTAAGCTTTGTTGCTATCAAATATAATAAACAGATAAGAAGAAAAATGTTCCATAGTCTACTCATGCAAGTCTCAGTCTGGGTTACTATAGTGCTGGAAATGGCCTTGGTAACATTGGTTTAACTCTGCCTGCAAATCATCTGACTGATTTGTTAGATTTTGTTGGGTTGGTGTGGGGAGCAGTGAGAGCTGGCATTAGGGGAGTGTCTCTGGGACGCCAGAGATCACTGTCTAGCCTCCTGGAGGTGTCGTGGGACCAAACAGGCGAAACACTGGTGAAAGGAGGTTCCCACGTGATGACCCCAAAGACATGTTAGTTATCACTGCTCATTGGTCTGTATAGGTAAGCCTCACCATAATAGCTTATCATAGGGCTTAGGAGGTTATTCACTGAGTGCTGATCCTTTTCTAGAGCACAAACTTCTTGTGTTTATTTGAATAAAGTGCTGCTTCTGATACAGTGGACATAAATTTATGCTGTGCTGTAAAGGTAAATATACAGTGCATGTGGTGGCCTGGAAAGGTAAATTCTGGGACATCTGTTCAATGTGTTCATGCAATCAGAATGGTCACATTATCAAAAAATAAAACAGCTATAATAAGTAGACATATTTCACTTTCAAAAAAAATACAGTAACTGCCTGAAATTTGTTTTCTATTCAGTAATATTAAGAACCAAGTCCTTCTACAGCCTAAAACATAAATGCATTTAGTCTCTTCTCTTCTCTGAGAGCTGTGACAAAGTTAAGGATTATTATATCAAATGACCTGGCACCAGCCTCTCTCTCAGACATGCTTTTTAGATATGTACCTCATAGGTCCCATTAGATCCTCGACTGCTGGCATGCTCATGGGGATCCACTGCGGCCCAGGTCTATGGAACAGTCTATCTCAACATCTGAGAAACTCCACCTCAGTGGACATGTTTAAAAGAAACCTTAAGACTTATCTTTTTCGCTTGGCTTTTACGTAATGGTGCCTCGTCTTTTTTTGCCCCTGTTTTTAAGTCTCACCTTTGGCACTTTCTACTTTTTTTTAAATTAATTTGTTCTTTAAAATGTTATTTATTTAAAATACTTTATCTTTTATTGTTGTATTGTCTAGCTGTTCACTTGTTACTTCCTCTGTGCTGTTTGACTCCTGCTCTGTGAAGAACTTTGGGCTGCATGACTGAATGAAAGGTGCTTTGTAAATAAAGTTTGATTTAATCTGATTAATTACAGTTCAGATCTAACTTTTACTCCACATAATAATGTCTCCAAATCTGCTTTTTATTAACTGAAAAATAAACTCAGTTTTCCGTCTGAGTGCTATTTTTGCATGTTTTTTTGTTTTTTTTAAATATCACTTGTGCTTAATTCTGTTTGGATTATATTATATACATAAATATATAGGCTATGTATTCACATGCAAATTGCATTCTGTGTATATAGGTTAGTAACACCTCAATTCCCTGTGGATGATCAATAAAGTTGAGTTAAACTAGTCAATGTAAGATTACCAGACAAGTCTAACTGCAACTGTTGTGTTTAATATTATCATTGGTGATCATAGTCGTGATACAATAGTAGTAGTAGTCGCAGTCCTATCACTGAAAGTAGGAACCACTTTCAAAGTATTGAGGGAAGCATTAATGGCGTGACACCGTTGCCATGGAAACGGTGTGTTTCGGTGACGTCCTCGCATTTGTTTGGTTGCTAACTTGATTAAATTGGTATTTACATCTTTAACATGCGACATAACAGCAGGAACCACTTTATAGAGATTGAGGGGGACATTAATAGCGTGACACCGTTGCCATGAAGACATCACCGCTACACCCGGACGCCCCGTTAAGGTTTAATTTGGTGATGTCCTCACCTTTTGTTTGGTAGCTAAATTAGTTAAATTAGTGGTTACATTTAGCTTGCCAAATAACAGTAGGAACCAGTATTAAAGATTGAGGGGGCAATAATAGCGTGACACCGTTACCATGGAGACACAACAGCTACATCCGGACGCTCCGTGAAAAAGGTTTGTTTTGCCGTTATAGTTAAGCTACGCTTCTCTGGTTGCTAAATTGGGAAACGGGTTGTTACATTCAACGTACGATAGACAGAATACACAGTAAAAAATACAAATTTGTACTGTACAGCTGAATATTAACGGCAAACAGGAAGTTAACTTTAGTTTTCTGGGTAACATTTTGTTAACCGACGCTAACTGACGAGGTCAGTTCCTGCCTTGAAATCGGCGCACTGTTTAGTGTTATCAGTTTATCATTCATAAAGTAAATTTAAGCAGTGTTTCGCTTATTCACGCAGGTAGTAACATGGACTCTGAGTATATAAAGAGACATCTGGGGAAGTGTCTGGCAGACGGACTCGCTGAGGTGGCCGAGCAGCGTCCTGTGAACCCCATCCTGTATCTCGCCCACTGGCTCTACAAGTACAACTCAAACGTTAAGTACGAGACAGAGGTAAGCTGCTGTTCTGCTTTCTGTCAGCAGGGGGACACATTACACAATAAAGTCTGTATATGCTGCAGTGTGCTGCAAGACTCAAATCTACTCAAGTACTCTACTTGAGTGCACTGATGAGGTACTTTCACTTTAAGTATTTCAAATTCTCTGCTAATATTTCTACTCCACATTTTCTGGGACAAATATTGTACTTTTACTTTACTTTTAACTTGGTACATTTCAAAGGTCTGTGTGGCACTATAGTTATACATATGATAACATACAAATTAATAGTAACAAAGTACACCAGGCACTGTACTTGAGTACAAGTCTAAGATACTTGTACTTTCTTTGAGTACTTATTTTCTGCTACCTTTACTCCACTACATTTGAAAGCAAATGATTGGAGCAGATTAAAACACTAAATACATATACCAACAATACGAAATATGATGCTAAACTTTATTAATACAGCACTTTACAAAACACAGTTACAATGTTGAACTGGGATTAAAACATTCCAGGACTGTAATGAGGCTAAAAAAGTCAGGTAGTCGAAATAATACAAGAAAAAATTTAAAAGATAAAAACAATAATAATACAACAGATAAGACTTGTTGGAAATAAAATGATGCACAATTAAGGTTGCAAGGATATACTGGTTTCAAGGTATAACATGATATAAAAGTTGGTTATCATATCATGTACATAAAATTAGCTCTACCTCTGTTAGCTCCAACATTAAAATGCTGACTTTAGGTTCATTATTAAAATCTATAGTACTGGTCCATTAAACATATTGGTATACTAACGGGTAATTCTGCCTGCAAAGGTATTTCAGTAAATCACAGCCACTATAATCAATATTTTAGATTAATAATAGAGCACAAGACAACTCTGCATCCTCTCAGGCTAATTTTCTTGATAATACAAATATATTTTCACTTCAGACAAGTTTGAATGCAACACTTTTACTTGTAAATATCTACGTTTACATTATACTGCAGTATTGCAACTTTTACTCAAGTAAAGGACCTGAATACTTCTTGTCCCACTAGCTACAGGATAGAAAAATAATTTCCCTAATCATAAGTTATCTTATGAATGAAGTGCTGCTAGCTATAAACCTGCCAATGCTAAAGCTACTTCCTCTACTACTGCCTCAAAGCCCTGATCTTCAAATAGCTTTGAAGAGCTGCAGCAAAGGGTGACACAGACTTAGACAGTCTAAGCTCCCCAGGCTGAGCGCTATAAAGCTCATAGGGGCTGTGACAACAAACACCCAGTCACCTTTTACCTTTAGCTTACATTCACAAACTAACAGAGCCCTGCATGTCTGGAGGTCTATGGCTCATGATAAATGAAAGGTCAGTGGGTCAAACTCTTAACAAGGCTTAAAGGTGTTTGTAAAACTACAGGTATCAAGAATGCTAAAAAGGTGTGGTATGGTCTCTTTTCTGAACCACAGGCCTCTTTGTTTGCACAACTTTTTTATTTGCAGAAAAAGGCCAATTTGGCGCTCCTGCAGCAGGAGCAGGCGAAAGCCAGAGAAGAGGAGTCGCACCAGGAGAAGCTGAGAGAGGAGGAGCGAAAGATCAGTGAGGCCTTGGAAGAGTCTAAAAAAGTAGGTTGTGTGACAAAGTCAATGTTTTAACTTTGAGCCTGATTACAAAGAGTTAATGTTACTGAAACTACATTTACCTTTGTACTTCTGAAACCTCCTTCTGATAGTTTTCTTGTTCTGCCAGAGGTCGCCTTTGTTTTGTTAATAAGTCACGTTTGATAATTTTCCAATATTGATCAAACTAGCATTATTTCTTTATTTCTGTTAAAATGAAATTCAACAAATTAAAATTCATACTAAAATTGCAACTCATATTGCAAATACAATATTTGTCAAAAATAATCACAGTAATTTTTTTTTGCGTATCGTGCAGCCCTATTTTTGTGAAGTTAATTTTAAGCAAAGAGCCAGAGCTAGAGAGAAAAGTAATCTCTGTGATGTATTCTACTTACATATGTTCCAACACTTAACATGACATTTTGAGCAAAATCCTTCAAGAGCATATCAACATCACCACATCAGCAGATCTCTGAGAAGGATGCTGCACCCGTGTAAGCCACACCAGGGGCTGCTGACGACAACAAACCAGAGACAGAGGAGAAACCAAACACCCCTGATAAAGAAAAGCAGCACGACACAGACGAACACCAAACTGAAGCTCAGGAAAGTGTCGCTGAACCGGAGGTGATAAAAAAGTAGATCTCAAATCTGTGTGCTTCTGGTGGTGGTGCCTCCTTCATCCTTTGCAGTCAGTTCTTTGGTTTGGTTTTTGGTTGCTGAGCTTTTTTGGTGGTGGGGCGCAGTTCTTTGATCCTTCAAAAACATTCTGCGAGTGACTCTCCTTGTGTGGTGTGGATTAAGTCATCAGATGATTTCACAATGGTTTAAAGGACATGGTGTGTCTGCCAGGTGAAGGTCACAGAGAATGTAACCAGTCCAGAGTCCACCGAGAGAAAACCTTTGGAGGCCAGCACCTCTTCTCTCTCCGAGGTCGTCAGCACTGAGGTCAAGGAGGAGACTACAGATAGGCCTGTTGGAAAAGACGAAGTGGAGCTGAGGACCGATCAAAAAGAAGAGAAAACAGAGGCTGAGCTGAGGGGAGATCAAGAAGAGAAAACGGAGGCTGAGTTGAGGACCGATCAAGAAGTGGAGAAAACAGAGGCTGAGATGAGGAGCATTCAAGAAGTGGAGAAAACAGAGGCTGAGCCGAGGACGGATCAAGAAGTGGAGAAAACAGAGGCTGAGCTGAGGACGGATCAAGAAGTGGAGAAAACAGAGGCTGAGCCGAGGACGGATCAAGAGGTGGAGAAAACAGAGGCTGAGTCGAGGACGGATCAAGAAGTGGAGAAAACAGAGGCTGAGCCGAGGACGGATCAAGAGGTGGAGAAAACAGAGGCTGAGCCGAGGACTGATCAAGAGGTGGAGAAAACAGAGGCTGAGCTGAGGAGCGATCAAGAAGTGGAGAAAACAGAGGCTGAGCCGAGGATCAATCAAGACGTAGAGAAAACAGAGGCTGAGCCGAGGATCAATCAAGACGTAGAGAAAACAGAGGCTGAGCCAAGGAGCGATCAAGACATGGAGAAAACAGAAGCTGAGCTGAGGACCGATCAGGAAGAAAACAAAATGGAGGCTGAGCAGACAAGCAGTCAAGTAGAAGAGAAAACAGAGATGGAGCCCAGTGATAATCATGTAGAAGAGAAAACGGCAAACACAAATCAAATAGAAGAGAAAGACGCTGACCGAGATGAGAAGGTGATGAGACACTTTTCGTGGCCAAATTACATCAATACCATTTTAGTACCATGATACACAACAAATGAAAAAGTAGCTAATGTTAAACACTGTGAGAACAGATGGCAAAACATCTGCTTACTTTTAACTGTGGTGCTAAATTTACATTATTCTGTCTCACAACTGCTCTGCAGGTGGTTGATGAAGCTGACACAGCTGAGACTGAGCAGACTGAACCGTTCCACTCGACTCCCAGTCAAGATCCTGACAACTTACAGACAGACAAAACTGAAGAGCAACAAGACAAACAAAGCCCTCGTTCCCCTGATCTTCAAGACACAGACAAGGTGATTAAATACAGGTTATGTGCATGAGGTCTTAAGTTGCCATGTATACAGATGGAGGATGCTAGAGATGCAGGATAAAGAGCAAGGGAAGATGATATAGAGACAATGTGAGGCAAAGTCAGCTGAAGATAGGCCAGATGACGACAGAAGAGTTGAGGAGAGTAAGAAGATGCTGCATGTACACAGGTGTTCAGGTGAAGAGGATACAGACAGAGGTCAGGCTGACAAAAGACAGATCTACTAACTGTTTGCATCACACCATTTCACCAGCAGGTTGATGAAGATGAAACTGGTAAGTTGGAGTCGGCACCACGGGGTGAAGGTCTGAAACCAGAGGAGACATTTTCTACTGAAGAAACTAAGCAGGAGCCACAGAAATCTGGTTCTCTGCCTCTTCAGAACCAGGACAAGGTGGCTAATTTCTAAAGAATATTTCTTATCCCTTGAAAAATTCTGACACACAAAAAAGGAAAACATATCCAGAAGGAGGCAGCAGTGTTGAGATTGAGAGTGTGATTTTTCGAGCAGCAGTGGACAGACAGCCAGACTGTGATAGAATCAAGTGATACAAAAGCAAATTTGTTTAATGTTTAACCAGCGCTGTTCTCATCACCTCATCCCAGGAGGCGGACGGGCAACGCACAAGTGAGACCACTGATGGCTCGGCTCCAGCTGACAGTGACGTAACAGCAGAGGGGACAGTGTCGAGTGAGATGCTCGTGACTTTACAAGAGGAGCCTGAAAACTCTCCTGACACGGAGGACGTCCAGGACAAGGCAGAACTTGTGGGTTAACCAGACAACAAGTTATACTGAAATAATTTATACTATATAACTGTGAAAAAATCCCAAATAAATGTACACACATTTCATATAGTTGGCATTTTTATTTGTAGCACTTTCTATACCATTTCCAATAGGTGGCACCCTAAATTCATAAACTTAATTCCCTAGTTTAGTTAAGTTACACCCTTATTCCTGTTTTCTTTTAGATTGTAGTTTAAAATGTGAGTCTATTAACTACTCCATCCCTTATTTTTGTGACTTAAAGGAATAGTGCACCCAAAAATAAAAATTCACCCATTATCTTCTCACCCATATGCCGATGGAGGCTCAGGTGAAGTTTTAGAGTCCTCACAACACTTGTGGAGATGAAGGGGGAGGGGGGTAGCAACACAACTCCACCTAATGGAGGCTGACGGCGCCCCAGATTCAAACGTCCAAAAATAGGCTACAGTGATGGTAAAAACAGAGTTCAAATGGCGTTTTTCCAAACAACTTTTTATGTCGGGGCTTCAGGACACTTGGATCACTACGGACGAGCAGTATGGAGATATTTTGTGGTTTCAATTATGTGTTTTTGGACATTTGAATCTGGGGCACCGTAAGCCTCCATTAGGTGGAGTTGTGTTGCTACCCCCTCTCCCCTTGGATCTCCGCTAGTGTTGTGAGGACTCTATAACTTCACTTGAGCCTCCATCGGCATATGGGTGAGTAGATAATGGCTGAATTTTCATTTTTGGGTGCACTATCCCTTTAACAATGAACACTGTGGGAATGATAACTGGTTTCAGCTGGTTGTAATTCACAATCCTCACTGCTAGATTCCACTAAATTCCCTCAACGTTTAACCTTGCACACTGGACCTTTAATGCAGTAGCTGACATTAAGTAAACACAAAGCTGTTGTCCTAACAACAGAAAAGCAATGAAAATGTCCACAGTGTAATACCTAACAAAATTTATCAATTTATTAAAAGTTGTGTACTTACAACAGGAGAGTTAAAGCCACAGAGGCTAATGTTGGACCTCCTCCAAGCAACCGACAGGAAGTTTCCAGGATTTAGCCTGTGCCTACCTGGGCAGTTCAAACGTCTCTACCGGGCAGCTAAGCTAACGTTAGTTAGCTAAAGAAGCTAATCACACAATTTCAGCTACTGCGTCGATATTTACTGAACTACTCAAAGCTTTTCACTGGTCTGAAGTATTAACACATTATAGTTTATACAGCACTGTAACGTTCAAACAGAATAAACACCGAGATATGTCTTATTATTACAACATTTCTTTCTTTCTCCTGCTAGCGTCTCTGTAACTGCTGCTAGCCTAAGGTTGACCCACACTTCTCGCGAGGTTTCACCCAACAGCCAATCACATCACAGGAAAAGTTTAATATCGCATAAACAACCGACATATAATAAATTCAACCTCATTCAACACTGCAAATAAAAGGTGCAGAAAATGGATATGTTAATTCTAACCACATCTTATTTATACTGAATAAAACACATTTAATCTGAGCAGAACATATAGAGAATTAGTTGTGTACAAGAATAAAAAAAATATGATATTTAGGACCAGATAAAATTGCCCTAGAGGCTTTATATTAACTTTCACTGGTGAATTAATTCTTAATAAGTGTTGTGCTGCTTTTCAGGAGGAAGAGGAAGGAGAAGGCCACACATGATAATTTCATATCTTCATGTTGTTTGATGTGCAAATACAAATATGCAAAAATAAACATTTAATAAATCGCACCAATATTTTTATTTTTGCATTTGGTTTATTTCAGTATTTCTGTGCCTAAACTGTGACGTGTTTCTTTATGATTAATCTCCACCAGAGCAGGCAAGAGATGGAACTGTGCAGGCTGTGGTAATGGTTCATGTGACTTATTTCCTGCCACTTGTACACAGTTGAATAACCTCCCCCCCGGTTTTGGAAATAATGTAACACTGTGCTGTTATTATGCAAGCGTGCACATTTCTGCAGCCATGTGTGATATTTTAGCCGCATGACGGTGCAGATTTCAGTGACCTTTGAACTGCAGGAGAAGGGTCACCGCTTGTGCATGATGGCTGTTAAGCATTTAATTTTCCGGTATCTGCCGCAGACTCGATGACGGCGTCACTGATCAAACACAGCTGCTTTAATCATCAGACCAGTGCCTCGGTCCAACAGTAGGCTGGGTCTGAGAAACACTGGGAGGGTTAACTTCAGATGGAATTTAAATGCGCTTATAACCGCGCGTTGCAGCCAGAGAGGGCATGTTGAAACCAAGATGCACTGACTCAAAACAGACACAGAAGCGAAATGGTACTGGGACTTATAACCAACGCTGCGGCTGCAGTCGGCGGCCTCATCACTGGTGTTATGAACTATTTCACCGACATGTTCCTCACTCCACCGCTGAAAGCAACCCTCAAACATTTGGAGGAGACTGAACTCCAGACTCTGAAGGGAGGTGAGTCCCAACGTATTTCATCCACCAAAGAAGTTCTGTGAGAGTAAGTTTCTTTTATCAGTGGTGAACTAAGCATGGGTGTGTTCAAAGGAGCTTTTGTTTTTGCTGGAATGTGTTCTGCATTTATTCTGTTGCTCAACTCCTAAACCCTGTCACTTCATTTCTTCACCCAGAAACAAGGATCATAAAAGCAAAAGCTCTGTGGGAGAGGTCTGGAGCTGTCATCATGGCAGTGCGGAGACCTGGATGATTTTTGTGCAGAGAGGTAATATGTCAGCTCATCACTGTGTGGCTGAATGTCTTTATGAAACAAGGCAAGGCAGCTTTATTTGTATGGCACATTTCATACACCAGGGTAAATCAAAGTGCTTTACAGAACAATAAAAGTTAAAACAGTGCAATAAAAGAGTGAAGAAAGAAGGTACAATTATTTCAAGTTAATTAAAAATAGCAAAAGTGCAGACAAGAGGTGCAAAGATAAAAAGATTATTTAAAACATCAACGTCATCTGGGAGGTTATTCCAGTTTTGTGCTGCATGATGACAAAACGCTGCTTCACCATGTTTTGTTCTGACTCCTGGGACGGTCAGTAGGCTGACCCCAGATATCCTCAGGGTCCTCAAAGGTTCATCTGTCACAAGCATGTCAGAATCATATTTGGGTGCTGAGCCACAGAGTGATTAATGCACAAGCACGTAGTCAGTGTACGGATTTTAAAACGAAACAAGTCAAAGCATGTCTCTCATATTCAAGGATCCTTTGTTTGAAGGACAGGTCCTTCCAAGGAAGGGTCCAACAGAGGCAAGGTAAAAATCCCTCATTGGAAAGACTCTGTAAACATACATTTGAGCAGACTAATGAGTCTCCAGGTGTGCATCATTAATCCTCTGGGGACTGAGGGGGTTTCAGATTACTGTGATAATTGTGTCACTCTCTAATGATGTTGTATAATTTGAACAAACGTAACCAGTATTTTCAGAGTCACATGACTTTTAGGACTCTTGATTATACTTTAAAGAACAGGTAGACTTGATGATGGGATTTGATGATGTAGCATCCTTGATATTCAGCCATTTAAGGATCCTTCCTTGACTTTGAGAAACACCCATTGTCTTCATAGTGGCGCCCCCAAGGCTGATTGTGCGCTCGTTTTGTACTCGGATATCGGAAGTCGGAAGTGGCGTCACCTCTGAGTCATTCTCAGAACCCATTGGCTGTATTCGGCGTCTGACTTCTGGCAGAATTATGTTCCGCCTCGTTAGTTCACCGCATGGACCGTTTAACCTGGCAACAACTGCAGCCGGCTCAAACGTGATTGGTCAATATCACGTGGACTACAAACAGCCTACAACCGGAAACCAGGGCTCTTCCGCTCTTCTTCCAGAGGCAAGATCTCTCCGGGGTTTGCCTACAGACTCTACATTCACTGAATGTATGTATGTGACAGGCAGCCATCTTGAATTCATAAGTCGGGGTTGATGCGGTTGCTCTGAGTTTCCGTGTTGGAAATCCGATCTCAGGGTGCGTTCCAGTTTAAACTTCCGAGTGGGAACTGGGAATTTCCGACCTCCGAGTACAAAACGAACGCACCATGAGGCAGAGAGGACCTCCAAAACAATTAAAAGTAATTGGAGACCAACAATACTGTTTATAAGAGGCTGTGGCATGCACATTTTTAAGCTACTGCAAAGGTGGTGATAACTTGTGAAACTGGACAACCTACGGCATCCATTGGTACCAACCATATCAGTATAGCTTGCTGGGAAGAGGGTTAAATAACACTCCAAATTAAGGCTAAATTTTGGCGAGGGAAAAATCGGCATGGCCATTTTCAAAGAGGTCCCCTTGAACTCTCACCACAAGATATCTGAATGCAAATGGCCTCGAAGTACCCACGGGTTTCCGCTGAAGTTGAGAAGGCTTGTTCCCAGTAAATGTTTGGTTCCTTACAATCAGTGTACTCCCTTAAATTAAAGCTGTATATTTGTCTTTTTAAGGACAACCAGCCTATTTGAAGAACATGTCGATACATGACACATTAAAAGAGGATTGTTGTAGAACTCAAAATGTTAACTGGGCTGGTATTAGTCTGTGCACATCAGATAAAAAGTAATATTAACCGTAAAATAATAATAATTTTTGGTTTTGGTGTGCTACCACTATGAAGGATTTCTGGGGGTGCGCAACACCCTTTTTATTTTTTACTTAAGTAGCTAGTAAAGTCCTCTTATTCCTAAATGTATGTCAGATATTCTGCTTTGAAGCTATTGTACATTTACAGAGTGACATATTCAAATCCTTAACTCAATCACATTAAAATATTCATGTCTTCTACATAGTTTTATAAACATTTACCCAAAAGTCATCTTGGCAAATTTGGTATCTTTGGAAACGTTGGGATCTCCACTTTAGTTTAACTGCTGTGGGTTTAAATAAAGTCTTTGCTGCATAGCATGAGTTTGGCTTTAAATCTTTTACTAGTTAGTGCATGCGGTGCCTTTGTATTTTTACTGCATACACACTGTTTCTGCTCACCTGACAGTTTTATATGCTCACTGTCTGCAGGAGGCTGCAGAGCTGTCCTCTCTGAAGCCTGAGCTGGATGAGCTCGGGGTCCCTCTGTACGCGGTGGTGAAGGAGGACGTCGGCACCGAGGTCCAGAACTTCAGACCGTACTTCAAGGGGGAAATATTCTTGGATGAAAAGGTGGAGTTTTTTTTCTGTCATGAATCAGTGTTTTGTGTGGTCTGTTGTGCCCTCTTGATGCTGAGGTTTTTCCTTTTAATAAGAGTTATTCAGGATCTGTGGAAAATCCGTTTAGCTCTGCATGAATTAATTCAAGGCTTCCTATTTGTGTGCTTGGATTGCAGAAGCATTTTTATGGGCCCCGTGAGCGGAAGATGGGTCTGCTTGGGTTCCTGCGTGTTGGGGTGTGGATGAACGGCCTGAGGGCCTTTAGGAATGGTTTCATGGGGAACGTTTTGGGAGAGGGCTTCATCCTCGGTGGAGTCTTTGTCATCGGACGAGGACAGCAGGTAAAACCTCTACAGTCAAATGCATGTGTGGCCTTACGAATCATGTCAAAGAGGACTGAACCAGGAACACTTATAACTGCATAATGCATCATGTTTTTATTCTCCCACAGGGCATACTGCTTGAGCACAGAGAGATTGAATTTGGAGATAAAGTCAACACTGAAGATGTAATCCGAGCTGCCAGAAGAATTTCACAAGAGCCTCTGCCTTTAGAGAGGAAATAATACTTTGATATGAATCTCATATCTGTAAAACACAGAGAGTTTAGAACAGTATAAATGACATCCGGCTCTATGAATGATCATATTAATGCTGAAGTTGTCGAGAAAAGAATCTTTGTAAAGTGCACATTAGGTGTGTGAGTTTGTTGGTGTACTGGTCTCAGTTGGGGGGCACCAAGATGCATTCTGAGGTGTAACTGCGTAGTTTGAGGCTCTGAGTGTGTTAATGATAGTCTGTCTTTAAACTCTTGAGAGGGAGCAGACCTGATATCTAACACTCAGTTTCCTGTATTACTCTGTGATACTGATGTGCTATCTTGGGAGCCAAGAGACTCTGACCTTTGACTAATAAAACACGGCTTTGTGCTCTACAGTTTGTTTTTATTATTACCCACAGCTTGGAAAAAGTTATTCAGATGTTCGACTTCCTGAGATGAAGTCATCTGACATCCAGGATGGGAGAGTTTTCCGAGCCAACATCACCATGTAAGATCAGTCTGGTTTCCTGCTCGAGCTTCCTGCACATTCAGTGTTTATTGATGTCTCCGGTCTCACTCAGCATGTTCTATTGGGAGAGGGAGAAGAAATTTGGAGACAAAGATGCTCTTCTGTCCTGGAGCCTGCAAAGAAAATTAATAAAAGTTAATTGGAGAATATTTTTAAATTCAAATGAGATGAGACACCAGACCCAACAGTGCAGATGAGCTGAAGGCTGCTATCAAAGCAACCTGGGCTTCTATAACACCTCAACAGTGCCACAGGCTGATCTCGTCCATGCTATGCTGCATTGCTGCACTAATTCATGCAGAAGGGGCTGAATATACTTTTCAGAGGGTCGACATTGCTGTATTATAAATCCTTTTTTTGTATTGGTCTTAAGTATTATCCTAATATTTTGAGATACTGGATTTTTGATTTTCATGAGCTGAAAGTTGTAATCATCAAAATTAAAACAAAAAAAATTTAATATTTCACTTTTTGTGTAATGAATCTAGAATATATGAACATTTCTTTTTTTTTTAAATAAATTAAGAAGAAAAAAAAAGAACTTTTCCATGATATTCCAGTTTTTTGAGATGCCCCTGTATTTGTTCACCGTCAATGTGCATCCACTATAAGTGCTTGTTTTGCCACTGACAGGCTCCAATTGTTTTTCTAAGGGTTTAAAAATGTAAAGGAAAGGATCCCCACAGAGATAGATTCTTTTAGTTGAATTAGAAACAGCTGCAAATTTGCTATTACTACACTCAGCAAACTCCATTTAGATAAGCATTAATTTTATCATTGTAAAACACCCTTCACTCAGAGTCAACAGAAACAAAATTAAACTTACAAAAGATGTTATTTGTCTTTCCACTGTTCCAACAATCACCACTTTGGTTTGGTGGAAATAAATCCTTAATTCACCCAGTTAGATGTGAAAATTTGCTGCCTCTATACAAGCTGAAATGATTCTTTATTTAAATGGAGTCTGGTGAATTTAGCGATGGCGATTTCGGGGCTGTTTCTGGTTAAAAAGCATCTTAATCTTTAACAAAAAGCTCTATCTCTGAAGGGATCATTTCCATAATGTTGTCAGACACTTAAAGGGATAGTGCACCCAAAAATGAAAATTCAGCCATTATCTACTCATCCTCATGCCGATGGAGGCTCTGGTGAAGTTTTAGAGTCCTCACATCACTCGCAGAGATCCAAGGGGAGAGGGGGTAGCAACACAACTCCACCTAATGGAGGCTTACGAAAGCACGTGAACACACATGAATGCAGTGCCCATGTCTCACGGTCTCACGCAAGCGCACACATGTGAGCGCGGTGCACGGAGAGGCAGTTAGAGCTACAGGCTACAATGAGGCTAAAAACAGAGTTCAAATGAAGTTTTTCCAAACAACTTTTTATGTTGGGCCTTCAGGACACTTGGATCACTACGGACGAGCAGTATGGAGATATTTTGTGGTTTCGATTATGTGTTTTTGGACATTTGAATCTGGGGCGCCGTAAGCCTCCATTAGGTGGAGTTGTTTTGCTGCCCCCTCTCCCCTTGGATCTCCGCAAGTGTTGTGAGGACTCTAAAACTCCACCTGAGCCTCCATCGGCATATGGGCGAGTAGATAATGGCTGAATTTTCATTTTTGGGTGCACTATCCCTTTAAAACAACAATCTGAGCCTGTCAGTGACAAAACAAGCACATTTATTGGACATAAAATGATGGTGAACAAATGCCCCGAGTGTTTACGTTGCAGCCTGTTTTGCAGCTGCTGAATCTCGCTCAATACTGGACCAGTTTCAAAAACTGTTGCTCCTATTAGTCACTTAGATACAAAAACATGGGAAAACAGGGAAAATGAAAAATATCTAACTTACCCTTTAATGTTGGTGTGTTCACTAGAGTCTGTGTAGACAACTACAGAGGCAGGACTTCCACTGAAAACCAATTCAAACGCAAAATTCCAATTAAACGTGTACATTTAATATGATAAATGCTTTATCAGAGTAGATTTAATGCGTGTAAGATGCATTTGTGTGCACTTACATGTACATAAAGGTCAGACTGTCAGTTGATTGGTATATAAGTTGTCCAATCAAATACTCTGAATTAACTACAATGCAGCCAATCAGCATGGCCGAGGGGCGGGCCTTGTTACAGTCGCAGAGATGTCCCAGCCAGGTGAGCTGGATCATTTACACAACATGGACTCAGGCAGGCTAACCAGCTGACTTTAATTTATGTACAGAGTATGGGATGAAATTAGAGGATACAAGGACACTTGTTGCCGCCTCCTGTCAGGACACTGTTCCTGTTAGTGTCTGTTTGGTGTTATTTAAGCTGAATACATGAGAGGAGCTGCCTTGGTGTCTGCTGTGTTCTCAGCCTGACATGTTTGGTAAGTATATTTTGTTTGTCTACATTTGTTTCAGATACTTTAGCGGAATAAGTGCTGAAGTTGCGCAGTAAAGTGAAGTCGTATATAAACTTAATTAAACCTCTCTTTGTATCGATGGTGACACTTTAAATGTCGCCGCTGTGACGCAGCTTTGCACGCTTTATTAGCGCCGCTATCCGGGGTGCTGAAGCACCGTGAGCCTGTGGGGAAACCCCGGAGTGACGACATGAGGGCTCACTGTTATCACGGGTTAAGTTTAGTGACATGTAACCATGGCAGCAGCACCATGTGACATCGTGACTCTTAAGTGGGTCAGGTCTGAGCTAAATAAACCCATTAAATCCTGTTTCTGAACTCACCTGCAGACAAATGCAGGATATTTGTTTGTCTCTTGTCTGTAGTGTCATGTGACTTGCAAAGACTAGATATTTCAAGGTGTCTCCAGGTCCTTTACAAGGTGTTAAATTTAATGTTACAACAATTAGGCCATTAAGCAGTCTTACATTTGAATGTGTGAGGTCTTAACTTCTATGAACAGGTCTTAAAAAGCATTAAATGTAACTGACACCTGCAGACACCTTGTATTTAATGTGTGTGCTTCACTTGTTGATACTTCTGTGAGACTCAGACAGGTGAGACATGCAACATGGGCAGGAATGGACCAAAGTGTGACTCCAGGAAGAGTCAGCTATCATGTCATGCAGCAAACTGCATCGGTGAGTTGGATTATTTGGCCATCATGTATCCAAATGTTCTAGACACAGCCAGCTCACCTGAGGATCTCCTTCCCTCTGCTACAGGCTCCTCCACTCGGAGCTGAGCCGCCGGTGGAGTGTGTGTGAAAGGGGACCCCGCCAGCCTCCATGGCTCACTCGTCAGACCCGTCCCGCAGGGAGAAGACCCCCGGGACCCATGGGACCCACGGGTCACACACGGCTACACGCAACCTCTTACGGAAGAAGGAGCAGCGGCGGCGTGGAATCCGATCCTCCTCGCCCATGGGCCGGGTCATCCTCATCAACTCTCCTGTGGATGGTAAGAGGTAGTCAGCCTGGCTGCTTGTGTAGTGCACATGACAACCTGCAGACTGCTGAAGACAGAACACTGGTTTATAAGAAAAACTGTGGGTATTTCTTAGAGAAATTTAGGCTGGATTAGATTTGGATACTGCTAAGTCTAGACTTACTTATCAGGGTGTATTCAGTATCTTACACTTGCATTATACCCACCTGATCTCAACATTTTTGTTTCACAATAATCATTTAAAACAGTGGTTCCCAACTGGTCCATCCACGGGGTCCAGATTTCTCCTTCGTCATTAGTTCAAGGATTGTTGACAAGGGATCAGGATCTCGAGGCGCAGCCAGGGGGAGGAAACGGTCGGGTTTGGGGACCTCAGAATTGCATCCCTGCTTTTCACAGATGATGTGGTTCTGTTTGCTCCATCACACCGTGACCTACAGCATGCACTGGAGTGTTTTGCAGCTGAGTGTGAAGCAGTTGGGATGAGAGTCAGCACCTCCAAGTCTGAGGCCATGGTCCTCTGTCGGAAAACGGTGGTTTGCCCTCTCCGGGTTGGGGGAGAGTTACTGCCTCAAGCGAGGGAGTTCAAGTATCTTGGGATCTTGTTCAAGAGTGAGGGTAGGATGGAGCGTGAGATGGATCGACGGGTCGGTGCAGCTTCTGCAGTAATGCGGGCGCTGTGCCGGTCCATCGTGGTGAAGAGGGAGCTGAGCCAGAAAGCAAAGCTTTCGACTGACTGGTCCATCTACGTCCCAGCCCTCACCTATGGACATGAACTCTGGGTAGTGACCGAAAGAATGAGATTGCGGATACAAGCGGTGGAAATGAGTTTCCTCTGTGGGGTGTCTGGGCTCAGCCTTAGAGATAGGGTGAGGAGCTCGGACATTCGGAGGGAGCTCGGAGTAGAGCCGCTGCTACTTCGTGTCAAAAGGGGTCAGTTGAGGTGGCTCGGGCATCTAATCAGGATCCTCCTGGGCGCCTCCCACTGGAGGTGTTTCGGGCACATCCCACTGGTAGGAGGCCCCGGGGCAGACCCAGAACATGCTGGAGGGATTACATATCTCGTCTGGCCTGGGAACACCTTGGGGTCCCCCAGGAGGAGCTGGAAAGTGTTGCTGGGGAGAGGGATGTCTGGGGTGCTTTGCTTGGCCTGCTGCCCACACGATCCAGCCATGGATAAGCGGATGAAAATGGATGGATGGATGGCATTAGTTCAAGGTCCACGCGGTTTAATATATTCAGTGTCATACTTGCATTTGGTCATGTCATCGAGCTAGTTTGCTGTCTCTGTCAAGTAGCTGTCCATTAGTCACTCACTCTACAGTGGGAAACAGCACTCCAAAATAAAAGCTCTGTGCCAGAAATTCACTGTACTTAAAAATAAAGTGTGTTTTTTTCAAACTTCACACGTTTGTTATCCACTTGTGGTCCATTTAGAATGGATCAGAGGATGTCCGAAGACTCTTCAGTATCTCTCTCTATCATTCGGTACAGAGTCAGAAACAAGCCTGATTTCTACAGTATTAATATGGAACATGAATTTCCCCCAAGATTTGTGACCATTAACGTCTCATTTACATATTAACAGCATCCATGTGATTTCCTTTAGGCGGAGATGACAGCGAGGACCTCCACACGATCACAGTGGATAAGAGTGTGGACGGCAAGCTCGGCTTCAGCGTGCGAGGAGGCTCAGAGCACGGCCTCAGCATCTTTGTCAGTAAGGTGGAGGACAACAGCACAGCAGGTAAACTAACGTAACGTACTCATGTTGCTCTTGTTACAGTGTTTGGGTGTATTTTCACACTTCTGTGTGTGTGTGTGTGTGTGTGTGTGTGTTCACAGAGGAGGCAGGTCTGCTTGTAGGAGACAAACTGGTGGAGGTGAATGGCATCAGCCTGGAGAGCATCACGATGAGCAGCGCGGTGAAGGTGCTGACGGGCAACAACAGGTTGAGGATGGTGGTGAGACGTGTCGGCAAAGTGCCCGGCATCCGCTACTCCAAGGAGAAGACTACCTGGTGATGATGAACTGCTCCTCTTGATTTTATCTCAGTTTTATACATAAATATGAGATTCTGACTGGCTGTGGAAAATCTTCCAGGGTGGACTTGATACACAGACGTATGGTGGTGGAGGAGAGCGGACGGACACCTTCGGATGCCAGCTCAGGAAGCGCCCTCCAAAGGATCGTCCACCTTTACACCACCTCAGACGACTACTGCCTCGGCTTCAACATCCGAGGGGGGAAGGAGTTTGGTTTGGGCATCTACGTCTCCAAGTACGTTCCTCCGCCACTCACTTGTTTTTGTATATCATGTCTCTATAAACATTTATTAATTAAATAATTTCCTGTGCCGGTGTTTCAGACTGGATCCTGGTGGTCTGGCCGAGCAGAATGGAATAAAGATGGGGGACCAGATTCTGGCGGCCAATGGCGTGAGCTTTGAGGACATCAGCCACAGTAATGCTGTGGAGGTGCTGAAGAGCCACACGCATGTCATGTTGACCATCAAGGTGAGAACGGGCGGTGACGCGCAACATTTGACCTTCTATGTCCACTGCAGCATGATTATGAATTCTTAGCAGACAGCATGGATATAACCATGGAACTGTCAAAGTCCAGAAAGAAGTAATTTTCCAAATATTTTGAAGAACGACATCTTCGTAAATGAGCAGTCTACAATTGTAAGCCAATAGAAATCTGGTGCTTAGACTCAGTCCTGGCTCTGTAAATGGAAAACAAACGCCCCTTTCCCACTGGACAAAAACCCACTAACACCTGGCTTTTGTATTTAAAGGAGAAGGTTACAATTTGGATTCACTCCCGGGACAAATGACTCTGCAGTAGTCACAGGTGTTTATCGGCCTCAGTTATGATCAACTTCGATCGTCAGTGATAGAAATACAACTCCCAGGTGGATGCTCTAATGTTAGCCCCTTTGCTGGCGTGATGCAGTGACACTCTCCCTCCTGCTCCCCGTGGTGTTCCCCAGATTGAGGTGACATTTGAAATTGATGTCAATGGTATCATGAATGTCTCTGCTGTAGACAAGAGCACTGGCAAGGAGAACAAGATCACCATCACCAATGACAAGGGTCGTCTCAGTAAGGAGGACATTGAACGCATGGTCCAGGAAGCTGAGAAGTACAAGGCTGAAGATGATGTCCAGCGTGACAAAGTGTCTGCTAAGAACAGCCTGGAGTCATACGCTTTCAACATGAGGTCGACTGTGGAGGATGAAAAGCTTGCTGGCAAGATCAGTGAAGACCACAATTTTTTTTTAATTTAATTTGGTGGAGAAAGGGTTAAAGTGACTCAAACCGAGTCACACACACTCTGCTGGCTAATCTCCCTTCTCCACATCCTCGCCCAGGAGAAATGTAGCTACATCATAACGGCAAGGGGACAGGGTTGTTAAGAAATTAAAGTACTTCATAAAAGAATTACATTTCCAAGTAAACTTATCAGTGAGCCTTTCACTGTTAACTTACTTTCTCAAATTCAAGAAACGACATGACATCGTTATCCCACAGCAATACAGATGGGGGTTTAGGAGATCTCCGCAGGAGTAAAATGCGACGTCTTGCCAAAAGGGAAGTACAGGCTAATATTTCTGACTGTGAGGAGTTCATTTGGAGTTTTTCAGATGATATATAGCAATAAAAGGATCCATTTATACCTGGACTCCTAAAACTTTTGTTAAAACCATAAAAAGGTCAGTCCAAAATGTATGTAGTCTGGGGCAGAAGAAGAACATATGACTCAAATTACAAGACGAGGCATAGCGTCTGTCATAATGGTCCACAATATTAAGATATATTTCAGATTGAGAACAAATTTTTAACCTCAAGAGAATCCGCTTTTTTTCTGTGTCTGTTCCACGTTTTTTTCCTCAATGACTTGGTCAATCCATGTGAAATTTGGCACAGTGGTAGAGGGTCATGGGAGGATGCGAATGGAGCAATATTGCATCAATTGGCCAAAGGGGGGCACTATAGCAACCGAATGAAATTGCAAACTTTGAATGGGCATATATCATGCCCCGTATGTCGTAGAGACATGAAACTTTGCACAGAGATGCCTCTCCTCATGAGGAACACATTTGCCACAAGAACCCATAACTTCCAGTTATATGGATTTTCCGCCATTTTGAATTTTTTGAAAAACACTTCAAATGGATCTCTTCCTAGGAAGTTTGAGCGATCTGCATGAAACTGGGCGAACATAATCTAGGGACCAATATCTAAAGTTCCCTCTTGGCAAAAGTTGGAAAACTTACTAAAACTGAGCTTCTATAAGGCAATGAATATTGAGGAGGGCGTGGCTCATCACATAAAGGTGTATAACATCTCAAGGGTTTCACCCATCACCACGCAACTTTGTAGGCAAATGACCACACATAATCTGAGGGGACCCCTCCATTATTGACCCCATCAAACAAAATGGGGGCGCTAGAGAGCTCATTTCTTATCTAGACCTAACCGCCATATGGATTTTTACTAAACTTGGTAGATATGTAGAACAGGACGCCTCAAGGTGACTGGAGAAATTTAACTCTAATTGGCAACTGGGTGGCGCTATAACAACAGAAAAATGCTTCAAAATGGCTAAAATGCGACCGATCGCTGTGGCTCCCCCTGTGGACCAATGTTGTTGGTTTTTTCTAATTTTTGGTATGACTAAGTCATGGCATGGTATGCTGTACATAATCACGGAAACTATCAGTGTGTCATTCTGTCAGTCAGTCAGTTTTAGCTCATAACTATCCCACTATTGGTAATGGTACTACTGTACTTTCAATAAAGCAATCGTACTATCAAATTCACAAAAACTCTGAATACATTGCTCTTCTTAATGGGTTCAGTTTACTATTTAATCTGTAATTTCCTATATGACCTGTATCCCAAACACACACCATGTGAAACTGTATGTGGGCAACTGTGCACTAAATGGGTATGGACTAGTATGATTAATTGTCAGAAGTCATCACGAATAAATACAATTTTACAGTGGATAAAACTAATCTAATTGAGTAACAAACATTGTTAGTAGTAGTGAATATTTTTGGTGTTGAATTCAGTGTTAACCACAAGCTAAAGTATCACACTTCGTAACGACTCTCAGTTATTAGAAAGCATATTGGTTCCTTCATTATCACCTCTGTTAGATGACCTGACACACATTAACTCTCTGACCCGTTTCCTCCCTCTCATCTCTAACTCTCTCTCAAACACAAACCCCACGCTGTGCCGCATCGCTGCACAGCGGACGTAGCTGCGGTTTGTGTGGCAGGGCCCGACAGCTGGCACGCAGTCGTAATATTCCTCGCTCACTTTACTTGTCGCAGCTTGGGTTTCGCGCTGTGAAAAATAGCCAGGCCGTGTGCATTATTCACCAGGCAGCTGGGATCAGGTGCTGATCAAAGCTTAGAGCCGTGTTGCCTGTTTAAGGTTTGCTCCCTGGCTTTGCCCCGTGGAAACTGAAGAGTTAAAAAAGCATCCCAAGTATCAGAGGTTACTAGAAAGTCAAGAAGGGAAGTGTGTTTGTCTTTAAGGGGGAAGAGGTGTGTGGTTTTGGGTCTCTGTGTGCTTCTAGGGTTACTCTTTATCAAATATAGCGAGCCCATAAAAGTTTCAAGGTCTCTACTGTATCTCATTTGCATATCTGTGTCCATATCTTGACAGGAAGCAGGACGATACCCTGCCTATAAGGAGATGGTGGCAGAATACAGGTGGCTCAATAAGCGTATGTATCTGTTTTATTCTCCAGTGTTTCATTATCTAGAGAGCTGCAGCCTTTCTCCTTGTGTTTGTTGTCTCAGTGAATCTGTAAAGAACACAGGACACTTTGTGGTATGCTTGAATAAACTTGAGTTAGATGATCTCTTTCTTTCCTCCTCAGTGGCCAATGGTACCCAGAAATCTTCCTCTCAGGGTTCAGAATCCAACTCCTCTGCCTCCTCTCTGTCATCCGGGACCCCGGTCAGCTCTCTGAGCGGCCTGTCGCAGGTCATGTTCCCTCCCAGCCTGCCGTTTGGTTCAGACATGGTGGACGTCTGCATCTCTACTGAGGACCAGAGGTCAGGCTCAGCTTTCTACTTTTGGTTATATTCTCCTAGATTTGGAGGAAATACCAGACCTAAACAGCTCAGTATTTTATTGAACCTTATACCTGCTTTAGGCTTTCAAAACTCCCTTTATAGTAGGGCTGTTGGGAAAACCCCAATACTGCCATACTGTGCTATTGACAAGCCAGCTGCAGGGGGTGGCAAGCAACCACTGCAACTGCTGTGTTCACGTTTTTTCATGGGAGCACTGCATGTTTACACTATGCTATAAATGGCAGCAGCTTGACAAGGTGCTGAGGGTCTACTCTGCGCTGCACGTTTGGTATTTTTATGGTTGTGAAGTCGAAAAATATTCAGCTTAAGGAAGATTTAAACTGCTGCGTTGAATTATAGCTGTACTTACAGCGTAGGCTCTGTGTAGACGTGTACCCTACACCATAGCTTGACATCCTCCCTAGCAATGTAACAACGCAGAAAATACTGACCTCCTGTTTATTTTTGTAAGCTGAAACCATTTCCCTCAAAAGCAAAGCTATTATTTGCTTTTAAATAGACAATAAAGATAACTAGTGCATACCCATTGGTAGCTTTGTCACCTTCTACCTATGCCAGTCCTCAATGCCTATGTGCAGCTTCACATAGATTGACCACGTCAGTGAGTAGAAAAACGTGGAACAGACAGAAAGACTGACTGACAGAATGACTCACTGACAGTTTCCGTGATTATGTACAGCATACCATGCCATGACTTAGTCATACCAAAAATTAGAAAAAAAAAACCATTGGTCCACAGGGGGAGCCACAGCGATCAGTCGCATTTTAGCCATTTTTAATCATTTTTCTGTTGTTATAGCGCCACCCAGTTGCCAATTAGAGTTAAATTTCTCCAGTCACCTTGAGGCGTCCTGTTCTACATATCTACCAAGTTTAGTAAAAATCCATATGGCGGTTAGGCCTAAATAAGAAATGAGCTCTCAAGCACCCCCATTTTGTTTGATGGGGTCAATAATGGAGGGGTCCCCTCAGATTATGTGTGGTCATATGCCTACAAAGTTGCGTGGTGATGGGTGAAACCCTTGAGATGTTATACACCTTTATGTGATGAGCCACGCCCTCCACAATATTCATTGCCTTATAGAAGCTCAGTTTTAGTAAGTTTTCCAACTTTTGCCAAGAGGGAACTTTAGATATTGGTCCCTAGATTATGTTCACCCAGTTTCATGCAGATCGCTCAAACTTCCTAGGAAGAGATCCATTTGAAGTGTTTTTCAAAAAATTCAAAATGGCGGAAAATCTATATAAGCGGAAGTTATGGGTTCTTGAGGCAAATGTGTTCCTCATGAGGAGAGGCATCTCTGTGCAAAGTTTCATGTCTCTACGACATACGGGGCATGAGATATGCCCATTCAAAGTTTGACATTTCAATGGGTTGCTATAGCGCCCCCCTTTGGCCAATTGATGTAATATTGCTTCATTGGCATCCTCCCATGACCCTCTACCACTGTGCCAAATTTCACATGGATTGACCAAGTCAGTGAGGAGAAAAACGTGGAACAGACACACACAGAGTTTTCGTCATTATATAGTAAGATAAAGTCCCCACAGAATAGCTTTTAAAGTCCTCTGTGTGATTTATTTCAGCTTCATATGAGCAGAGGAAAGTCCACTAGCGACCAGGCTAATTTACGCAATGTTAAATGTCATAGGTTTATGCTAGTAACGTTAGCATGTTGTATATGTGGGTAAAACGTATCTGATTTAAGAACGAAAGCACATAATGAGGTGCCTGACTGAAAGTACATGAAAAAAATGTTGCTGAAATTGTGCAATTTAAATTGATTTCTCCGATCTGATATGACAGCATCATTATGTCAGGTCAAAGTTTAAGGGTCGGGGTCGTCCATGGGTCAACAAAACTTGGGGAGAGATTTGGGGTTGGGAGATAATCAGTAGCACAGACAGACTGACAAAGAGCAGAACATTGCCTGGACAGTTCTTTTGGCGCTGCTTTTTAGATCCATAATATTTCTTGGATGTGAGGGACTTCGACTGCAGGGGCAGAGACATCAGGATGGAGTTTTATGGTTGCTAATGTTAATGATGGAGCGGACGATGGGCGGATGTAACATAATGATTTGCCCAGGGGAAGTGAGTGGCTTCAGCGAAGAGACAATGTGATGTCCGACACTCTATATTTGACATTTTCACACATGCAGTCCAGAGAGAAACTGTGGTTTAGGCATGGGAACGTGCGTTCTTTGGACTAACAGCTGATGGAACCACCAGTGTAGGCTTTAATTCCTGTAAGTGTGTTCACATAAATACTGTGCAGCACCCCTCAGCGGAAATATGTTCCCATGGACTTGTATAAATGAAATAACTTGCAGAATATCTTGACAGCCCTACTTTACACTGCAGTCATACAATACAGCTTCAACATATGCACACTGAAAGACTGGACCTAGACTAGACTCGATCATGGTGGTTTATCTGTCCAGGTCTGAGTCAGAGCGAACTGAGACCGCCATGCAGACGGACCTTCCCTCTCAGAGGATGGGTCCTGAAACCACCCGCAGCCTGGGTCGAACCACTCTGCTCAAAGACACAGTGATCCGTGGAGACGAGGGTGGGGGGAGGCGAGAGTCCACCAAGACGGCTGTGCTGATGGCTCTCAGCAGGCCGAGCCGACCAATCAGCAGATCCCAAAGCCAAGTCACCGTGGCAGGTGAGGCGAGTGGGTAACATCAAAAGACAGAATGGCTGAGCTGTGTAAATGACCAACTGTTTGTTATCCCATCATAGAGATCACGCAGAAGAAGGAGAAGAAGCAGAAAGGGAAGGACCCAGAGGAGAAGAGCACCCTGCAGCGCTCAAAGACCTTCGTCAACTTGCTGTTCAAGGGTGGACGCCGGGGACGCTCCAAGTCTCCGTCCACACACAAGGCTGGCAAAGGTAGGTGAATTGTTTTGGATGTTTTATGTCCTGGTGTACGGTAGTTAGGATGGGCCAGTGCACGTTTCTATGACAGGCCGTAGTGCCAGATTTTGCATTGAAACAGCTACTTTATATGGCCTGTGAAGATGCTGACACCTGCTCAGGTTGTTGTGTGAAGAACTTTACACTCTGAGCAATCAAGACAATAACACAAATAAACAATTCACAATAGCTGCACCCACCAGTTCATGCATTCACAAGACCAATCTTTCCACCAAATCTTGTGTAAAGCTGTGAGTCATTTGGAAGTTATGCGCCTTGTTCTTATCAGCCACTCCGACTTCCCCCTTTTAGCCAATTGGCATCGACACATGCACACACTTTCACACACACACACACACACACATACTTGACCTCCATGCCAAATCTCAGCCTCCTCAGGCAAAATCTGTGAGTGGTGACTGACTGACTGAGCTACTGGTCGCAGCTTCAAATAAAACCACATGGGAAAGGTTTTACAACAGCTGCTGTTATTTTATGTGTTAATCCATCTCTCAACACTCTATGTCCTCTCTATCTATCCATCTTATCTTCTAACTTTGTAAAAGCAGATCTCCCTCCTCAGTCTGTGGCAAATTAAAACCCTAGAAATATGATCTTAAATTCGTTCCGTGACTTCTTCTCCATGCTAAGAGGTTTCATATACTTTATGAGCAGTGAGTTATGATAGCTTGTAACCCAGGTAAGCACGAGGATGTTTACAGTCTGTATCGTGGACATGTGTACACAGATAGAGCAGATTTATTGAGCCTGTAACTACTGTGCGTCATTCAGTGACATAAAGATTTAATTTACTTTTAATATGTTCGACTGCAAAAAGACATTTCTGGTCCAGAGGACACAGATCGTGAGACTGAACAACGATTCTCCCTTGTGATGTTTTCAGGAGGACAGCAGGTGAGTGCGATGCCAAATTCAGAGATGCTCGGAGTGGTGGAGGACATGGCCCGCAGGCTACTGACTGAGGAGGAGGTGGCTGCTGTGATGAAGACGTGCCGAAGGGTGAGAGTCTGTATTTATCACGCAGCATCATTCATCTATCAGTTCCCAGTCGTTATCAGCTGGATACTACTGTGAATCGATGATTTTTGTTATTGCTCTTTACCAGTATGTGGCCGAGCGGTCAGTGGAGAACTTGATACGCCACCTGCTGGCTGTGCTGGACAGGCCGGAGAAGCTGCTGCTGCTGAGAGAAGTCCGGTAAGGAAATCAGTTCAGCTTGGGACTAGGTGTTACAATCCCTTGATGCACATACTTGAGACTATGAGTGGGAGTAATAGTGCTGTCTGGGGGTCTGAGTGGGAGCCAGAGAGTTAGATGAATATGTCGGTGAAGATTCTCAGTCATCCAGGTCATGGTAATCGTAAGTGCTATATCGTAGGCAACTGGACTTGCTTGAGTTTCTTGAAGACATTTCACCTCTCATCCAAGAAGCTTCTTCAGTTCTAAATGACTGGTGTGGAGTCGCAGGCTTTAAACTTTAAACTCTGACGTCCATGGCTTCTTTCGTGCCTCCTTCAAACCATCTTTCTTGTCTGGCCAAGATGTGAACATTGCTGTCCTTGAAGGAGTGTCCCTTGTCCTTTAGCTGTAAATGGACAGCTGAGTGTTGACCTGACGAGCTGGCTCTCCTGTGCTGTGCCATGTGCTTGTGGAGTGGTTGTTTTGTTTCACCATTGTACAAATCTGTGCTGAACTGCGCACACTACATTACTCTGCGTACGGCTGGGTGTTTTGTCCTTAGGGTGGACAAGCTTCTGGCTCAGTGTGTTACTGGGTTTGAAGCGCAGAGGGATGTGGTGTTTAAAGCCTGCGACTTTGCACCAGTCCTTTAGAACTGAAGAAGCTTCTTGCATAAGAGGCAAAACATCTTCAAGAAACGCAAGCAAGTCCAGTTGCCCACAATGTAGGACTCATGGTTAGATGGATAGAAAAGTAGGGAAGAGCGAAGGTAGGTAGAAAAGTAAGAAGGAGCTTAGGGAAAGAGAGACTTCTGTGCGGTCTGAACTCCCTTTACCCCCCCCCCCCCCCCCCCCCCCCCCCCCCCCCCCCCCCCCCCCCCACTCCCTCATTTTGATGAGGGAAGAGAGAAGAAACTAACAGGAGAAAAATTGTTGTTGCACATACTTGCTATTGTGAGTCAAAGTTGGAGCCATGCTGGGGGAGGGGCGAGAGTTAAGGGGGGGTAAACGCTTCACTGGGGTCATCAGGTGGGTACCTTCCTTCACTGGTGTTTCAATGAAAGGCCCACAACACTTCTAGAAGGCTCACTGATAACACCTGGTGTCCCAGGTGCCCCCTCTGCTTTTACTCCCTCGTACCCTGCTGTTGTTAGTGGTATTTTGGGGCCCAAGTGGCGTCGTCCCCTTTGTCCATAGCCACCAACTTGTCTGTTCGGCTGCACCAGATGATGGCCTGACGTTGGACTTGGCCTCAAATTCCCACTTTTTCAAGCAGCCTGGTGTAACTCCAGCCAGAGAAAGTGGAATTACAAATTCTGCCAGAAGGGGATTATTAAGGACTTTTCAGGGTAATCTTCTCAGATCCAAATGTTTCACAATAAAACACTGATGACTCAGTTAAAAATGCTTTGTAATATAACAAACAATGAAAATAATGACTCTGTTTTGACTCCGTTGTCTCGTCTCTCAGGATGCTGCTTCCTCCTGCTGACCTGAGTGCATTCAATAACATAGTGACACCGATTGAAGCTGAGGCCTACGAAATCCTCAAGTATCGTTCAAGTGCGTGTGATACATGCTGAGATTTGTCAGAATCAGTGCTCTGAAATACAGATCCACTCTAAAAAGTCCTTCTTACACTCTTCTCTGTAACATTTTATCTTTCTGTCCTCTCTGTAATATAGTCCGAACTCCTCCTCTCCGCTCTCCCACATCTGGTCGAGCACCCAAACGGCGCCTCATCACTCCCATCCCGGGTCAGTGCCTTCCACCTCAGCTGCAATACCACTTCATTTTTCAGTGGTTTTTAACTTTTGGATTTTAGTTTTATGTTTAATATGTTTAAACAAGGATTAGACGAGGAACCTGGCTGTTTGTTTCTACTTAAAAAGGTGGTTTTGATGATTTTAAATTGGTGTTTTTCTGCAAATGTTTTCTTATAATAAAAGTGGTGCTCTTGATTTTCTGTTCTGAGGGTAATAACATCACTGTGGAAGTCTGTTTCTGCCGAGAGAAGAAAAAGATAGACATGATGAAAATAAAAGTAGTCACACAAGTCAGTCAAAATTAACAGACACTGAGACAAAACAGTGATTCAGGGGAGTCAAAATTATGAGATCTTATGCATCTGGTTTCCGATTTATATTTTTATTCAATACCAGAACAACCAAAACAGTTCCCCTTTGAAAGCACAAACAGACAACACAGGACAACTTGAAATTAAAGTGCACACAGCACCAGAAATATACTGATACACCCTGTGTTTTCCCTTCAGATTACAGAGGAGGCTTTGAGCTCCACAATGCCGAGGAGGTGGAGAAGGAGAGCCACCTGCTGGATGAGCTGGAGAAGCTCAGTCTGTTTGGGCCCCGAGGATCCAGGGAGAAGCCCCATACCTCGAGGTCCTTCACCCCACTGCTGGACATACCAGTGGACGGCTACAACACAGAGTCCAGAGACCTCAGACCCACCTCTGCCAGACCCATGCTCCCCAACTGGCTGCTGGCCCGCAGCCACGAATCCCGCCCTCCTTTCCGAACAGACATCGGCACCATTCGCTCCGTCCACTTTGACGAGGTTTCACTGCACTCGACTTCAGACACGGCCTCAGAGAGAGGAAGGTCCACGTTTAGAAACGGCCACTCCAAAAGCGAAACGGAGAAAAGTGGAGACAGGAGTGAAGAAACTGTGTTCACGCTGCAGAGTGCTGCTCGCAGGAGTCGGCCACTGTTGTCGCAGGTGTTCAGATCGAGTCCAGATCAGGGAGGGAAGGGCGAGCAGGTGAACGGACATCAGGCTCCTTCTGAGAACGGACTCAACGGCTCAGAGCCTGAAGAGGACCACGAGCTCAAAACTGTCAGCATCTCCAAGACCAAACAGTCACTGGGTAAATGTGTTTGATTGATTCATTGTCTGGACATTTATTAGTAGATTCCGTTCACACAAATTACAACCAAACTGACCTCTGAACATGTTTTGGTTTTATTTATCCAGGTTTTGAGATATTTGTCTGAGATTTCTATCTCCACCCCTAAAAACATCCCCCAGTTTATTAGTTTCATCTGTGGGTGGTGTTCACATCTTTAAAAAAAACTAAACACATCAACATGTCTTTCCAAGAAGAGTGAAGAGAGAAGAGAGTGAGACATATAGTCTATCAAAGGTCCAGTGCACAGGAGTCAGGGGGATATATTGGCAGTTTTCTGTAGTTTATAATCACCTGAAAAAATAATTGTTGTGTTTTCATTGGCTTAAAGTGAGCTGTTTATATCTACATTGGGAACAGGTCCTCATCTACGGAGATCGGCAGGTTGCGCTGCCATGTTTCGACAGTAACCCAGATTGGACAAACCAAACACTGGCTCTAGATAGACTTCATATTTTTGTGTCAGCCACCATCCTTAGCAGCCCCTCCATGACAAGTGGCATCGGAAACACACTGAGTTTTTTACGTGAAATTGCTTTATTCAGTGTTTTTACCGGTTTAAATCACCTGGTCCATTTGTTTTGGAGAGGAAGTGACGTTTGTGGACAATCCGGCTATCTGTATTTTTACCGATTTTACCGGTTTTGATTTCCTGGTCCAGAGAGAGGGAGACCTCTGTGGATAATTCAGCTTCCAAAAAAACCTTCTGAACAATGAACACCCCAGTTCAGACCAAAGATTTGCGACGAGATGAAACCGTTTTAGAACGCTGCAGAGAAAAGTTGCAGGGATGTGAACTGACCGTCTGAGCTCAACTCAAGCCGGCTGATGGTGTCACCTGCAACTCAGCTGGTCAAACGTAAAGCACGTTGTAGTGAAGTCCACCAGTTGAGTCAAAATGACCACAGACAGCGTGCTTGCTTGCTGCGGCAGGAGCTCTGTCCCTGAGCCCTCTGTTTCAACTTGTCTCATCCCGAATCTTTGGTCTAAATTGGGTTTAACTTGTAGAGGTTTCAAGTGGTTGCAATTTGCAGTCCTCACCACTAGATGTCTCTAAATCTCCAGAAATCTTACAGTGTTCCTTTAAATGAAGGAAATGGTAGTTACATACAACACATAACTAAGACCTCCAGATATGAAAAGCTTATATGTAAACCATCTTTGTTCTTTTATATTTCTCCTCTTCACATGTAGACTTATCTATATAGTTACATGCAATATTTTCCCATTGTTAACTTCAAAATGTAGCTGCTCATCTCCTCTTTTTGCCTCTTTACTTTTATATTTGTGTACTTACAGTGCCAGGTGTTTCTCATCACTGAGTCCCACTCCTGTTGTTTTGCTGTTTCAGGCATCAGTATATCGGGTGGGATGGAGTCGAAGGTTCAGCCAGTGGTGAAGATCGAGAAGATCTTTCCTGGAGGAGCTGCCTCCACCTGCGAAGTGCTCAAGGTGACACGACTGTTAAAGGGAAATTTCGGTTTATTTCAACCTGTCTCCTATCATCCTAAATTTGTTTCAAGTGACTAGTAACATAAAAATAATAATTAGCATGTTAGCCGTTAGCCTAGATACAGCCGGGGAGCATAGTAGCGTCAGACCTGTTAAAACGTAAGTGAACGGGCAACCTTCAAGTGCAAAGTTAGTCCACTAAACAAGCTTTTTTCCACAAAGACCGCCTCATATCGTTAGGATAAATGTCAGAGAACATAAAGAAAACGACATGTAAACATGTTGTCTTACCTTACTGGTGTGCTGCCATGTTTGTTTACCATTTAGCTCTGCTTTCCAAAGCGCGGCCGAAATATCGCGAGAACAAGTAGCGATCTCATAGCGTGCCTGAAATCTCATGAGAACAAGCAGCAACAGCTGGAAGGCAGAACCAGACAGTAGCCTGAAAAGTTCATTCATTTAATTTATGAAAGATTTATAGAATAATGGCTGACTTTTTGCCAGACTTCGACTTTGTGGAGGAGGAATTCGATTTTGCAGAGTTTGATGGCCGCCCTTACTTACGTTACGTTGTTACGTTTTAACAGGTCTGACGCTACTATGCGCCCCGGCTGTATCTAGGCTAACGGCTAACATGCTAACTGTTATTTTTATGTCACTAGTCACTTGAAACAAATTTAGGACAATAGGAGACAGGTTGAAATAAACCGAAATTTCCCTTTAATAACCAGGGTTTCTGCAGAGTGCAACAAATTAAATACTATTTTTTTATTCCACATAAAATGCAGTTCAATACTTCACACAAAGTATGAAAACATGATGGAAACCCAGTATAATGTATTACTATTTTTTGCAGTATAAAATAATAATTTCTGATGATTAAATAATTTTAATTAACAGGGTGACCAAATTGAGCAGCAGAAAATGGATTAACCACTAACATGAAAAAATTATTTAAGTTCCTTCAAGTTCAAGGTCTTTTAGATTAACAGATGAGCGTCCTGGCTGCTGTAGCCAGCTGTAGCTACAGTGTTTGCTGCAGGTGTTTTCAGGTGTATAACACCTCCTGACAGCCTGAAAACAGACACAAAACAACTTTATAACCAACATTACTGACTCTGTAAAGCAACAGTAAGCATTTAAAACCTTAGTAAATTAAATTTTAGACCTTAAATACTTGCTAAGGCATTGGAGGATACTACATTAAGTGCAGATACCCTGCTTACACACACAGAAGTGTTTGTACTTGAATGTATTTGTTCCATTTCTTACTGTGTCTGACTCCTCTCTCGCGTCCTCAGGCTGGATTTGAGTTGGTGTCTGTGGATGGAGTCTCCTTGCAAGGCGTGACCCATCAGCACGCTGTCGACATCATCCGAAAAGCCTTCAGCAATAAGGCCAAAGACCCCATGGTGTTTGTGGTCAAAGTCCCCAAAAACATTTTGAAAGGAGACTGAGACTCTCATCATGACTTTAGGAATATTCCCAGTGATAAGCAGCTGTTGGGACTGAACACAGAAACAGAGACTTGAAACACACTGATCTGAGGTCAGGTATGTAATTTTGCCATTCGTCTTAAAGTTTGTTAGAGTTGGGAATAATTGCGTGGACTCTGGTGACTGTTGAGCAACTAAGCTGAAAAACCGAAATGGCCTGAAGCAGCAGATGACGGCGTTCAAGGATGAAGCAAATGAGGAATACTGTCACTGAATTATTTAAAGACAAAGTGAACACAGAAGCAGCAGATTACATTTACAGTAAGAGAGTCCAGAAAGCCTGAAATCATGAAAATATGGTGCTCCTGATGCCTTAATATTTCACTTTATCACAACCCAGGAGCCAATGCTGGCTCTTTTTACTTTTTTTGTCACATTGTGTAGAGGCTGCCAAAATAAAAAGTAATAAAAATAAAAATAAAAATACTCTTTAAATAAATTTGTCTTTAAATTTACAAAAAAAAAATTACTTTTTTTTAAAAAAAAAATCTAACGTAAATACAAAATCAAAGCAAAACTAAATACATTTAAATATAAAAAATTCAATGGGGAAATTAAATAGGAGAGTAAAGAAATACATAGGAGAATTAATACAAAGGTAAGTAAATATTAAGTCTGCAGTTCTGGAAAAAAAGAGTTGATTGTTGAGTCTCCCCAACAATCAACTCTTTCTCCGGACTTAAACACTGCACCTTGAAAACAGAAATTTATTCAATTTATTTCATTTTTTTGATAATGGTACATTTAACGGCATATAAATGAATTTACTGAGTTATTTATTTTTTATTTTGGCAGCTTCCGCCCTCCATAGAATGACAGTCCTCTTAAAAAAGTAGTGCAGAACTATATGTTTATGTTTCTGAATTTCTGACTGACTTCATCACAACCCAGGAGCCAACACTCATCAAGAACATTTCTTTTTACTATTTATGTCACATTGTACAGAGGACAGGAGGTGCCAGAATAAAAAAAATATTTAAAATAAATTAAAAATTACTTGATTAATAAATTTGTCTGTAAATTTAAAGAAATAATAAATAAATAAATAAACATTTAAAAATAAATCTAAAGTAAATAAAAAAATCAAAGACTAAATAAATTTAAATACTTAAAAAAAAAAGAAAAATTAAATAGTAAAAAAATACATAGGAGAATTAATAAAAAGGTACGTAAAAATAAAGTCTGCAGTTCTGGAAAAAAATAGTTGATTGTTGAGTCTTAAATTAATTTATTGAGTCATTTATTTTTTATTTCGGCAGCTTCTGTCCTCCATAGCATCACAATCCTCTTAAAAAAAAAAATAGTGCAGAAGTCTGTGTTTATGTTTCTAATGTCCAGAGAATCTGAAATCATGAAAATATGGTGCTCCTGATGCCTTAACATTTCACTTTATCACAACTGAAATGAATAAAAACATTTAAAAATAAATCTAAATAAAACTACATATATTTAAATACAAAAAAAATAAATAGGAAAATTAAATAGGAGAGTAACGGAGAATCATTACAGAGGTATATAAAGAAGAAAATTAAAGATTAAATCTGTAATTCTGAAGAAGAATAGTTGATTGTTGAGTCTCACCAAGAGTGTCGGATGTTGACAATCTGGGAATAAGACTCAACGATCAACTCTCTTTATCCAGAAATATGAACTGCACTTTTAAAACAGAATATAAAATCTTTTAATTAATGCCTACATTTATTTTTAATATTATTTTTGATACATGCAATGGCATATTCATTTATTTACTGAGTCATTTATTTTTTATTTTGGCAGCTTCTGTCCTCCATAACAATGACAATCCTCTAGAGAAAAGTAGCACAGATTTCCATGTGTCTGAATTTTTGAATGTGCAGAATGTAACCTGAGTGCCTTTAGCAGCCCTGTTGACTGAAAATATAATGCGGTTAAGCTGTAATGTAGATTCTGACCTGCAGAGGGCAGACAGGAGACATTCAGAGACATTTCTGCTGTGCAGCAGCTAATGAGGAATACTTTGAACCCCTCATGAAACCACAAACCGTAAAACATCACCTAAATATAAACACAATGAGAACTGAAGAGCAAATAATCCAGATTGTTGCAGGAGGGAATGCAACCCAGAGTAAATGGTCATTGCACATACTGGAATTTCAACACAAATAAACTCATATTTCAGTAAAAACTCGCTTTACAAAGACATTGCATTGGAATGTATATAATTTAAGTGAAAAAACAATCTGCTGTCAGGTTTTCAAGTTGTATGATGTTGAACAAATCTGAATGTTCCACACACGGCTACTAAATTGTCTTTTTTTTAATTAAAAACATAGTATGTTTGTTCAAGAAATGTACAGCATGAAAATATACATTTAATGTCTTCATACAAATATCGTGGATTATAAAATTATACTGAGGAACCGGAACAAACATCCACACGAACATTAATATACAGGCGTCGTATCTGCAGGAGCAAAATATAATGTGCGACATTGCTTTGGTCTATTCACAGTGGCTATGTTTTTTATTTTTGAGACGGACAGACATCTCTGGAAGAAATCTGAATGATTTGTCAGGGTTATTTACAGAGGACGATGAGTCAATCAGCAGTAACAGATGAACAAAAAAGGGAAGTAATTACACATGAAGCAGATCGTACACTGTAAAGGTTGGTGGAAAAACAGTCATGGTCAAAGTAGTTTGAATTTACACCAAAACACCCAGAATTCAGTGCATGATTTCCCTTCAGTGATGTAAAAATCACCCACACACTAATCAATATTTCACCATGTCTTAGCAGGAAGTATTTTCTCCAGTGAGCACCATGCAGCAGGAGGACCCTACTGAAATGCAAGGAATTATTCTTGTTATATAACTATAATACAACTGATTGTTATCTCCCGAGGACTCTCAACTCCCAGCTGACACTGTGGAAAACCTGGGACTAGTTGCCAGACATAGAGACAGGCAGCCTGTTATTCACACCTACGGGCAATTTAGAGTCACCACCAGTCACAACAACTTAACCTGCATGTCTTTGGACTGTGGGAGCAACCTGAAGAAAACACACGCTAACATGGAAAGAGTATGCAAACTCCAAACAAGGTGTGTCTCCAGCCACCTTTTTTCATGCACATTTTCAATTCTGCACATTAAAAAACAAACACCAGAAATTAAAAAAAAAAAAAAAAAAAATCTCAAAATGATGGTGTAATAGTTTTTATGCTTAGTTGGCACAGATGGAAAAGTTAGTGTGTCAATAAAAGGTAAATGCCGCTACGTGCAATGGAAACACATTCAGCAAATAAATGATGACATACATAAGTGACTGCAAGCTCTCGTCATCGTGGCTGGAGGCTTTTAACATGCTTATGTATGTATACAGGGCTGTTATCAGAACTCTTCCAAGAGCACATAGTTGTTTAAAACTTAGCCCAGGGTGCTCTTTCTTTTTATACATAAATTTGTTTCCCTTAACTTGAGGGGTTTGACTGGTGCTTTTTTAATTACGTCATCTTGTTGAACCCTCTTCTGCAGTGGCCCTGGCTGGAGAATTAGTGCCACCTACTGCTGATATTGATGAACCAATTCCCTAAACTCAAATAAAAGCACATAAATTCGCTTTTTGGGGGGAGATTTTCTTAAAATGTGGTTAAAATTTGAGCTACATTTGGATGGAAACCCAACTACAGAAGGGACCAAGCTGGCCAACAGGTTCCCTTTGTCCTTTCTGATTTGGTTTCAGGGTTCGGCCCATAATCACTCTCTCATTCTCTACTCCCTATACAACAGCCACTCTATAGTTTACTCTGTAGCAGTGCTTCCCAACTGGTGGGTCGTGGTCCAGAAGTGGGTTGCAGGTCCATTCTAAATGGACCGCAAGTGACTCGAGAGTGTGTCAAGTTTGTAAGGAACACACTTTATTTTGAAGTACGGTAAATTTCAAGCACAGAGCTTTTATTATGAGGTGCTATTTCCTGCTGTAAGGTGAGTGACTAACTGACACTTGACAGAGACAGCAAACTGGGCAAACACAAGTATGACACTCAATTTATTAAACTTTGTGCACCTTGAACTAACGGCTAGGGAGAAATCTGGACCCTGTGGCTGGATTTCAGATACCTGTGTGTCGTCATGTGATGACATGGATTGTACTGTGGGATTGTTGGCAGAAAATAGTGTAGAGGCAGTGTTTTTTGTTCCATAGCTACAATTTTGAGGACACTAAATAGTGCGTATACAGTAAATACAGTGCACTAGGGATTTTGGACAGCCCTGGTATAGATCATTTTTCCACAGCAGACATTTTGACTCATCATAGCAGGAGAAACACAGGTGACACAAACATTAAGTGTCGATACGAGCCACGACAGTGAGCCAGTTCGACACTTGAGCTGAATCTCCTTATATTTCTTGTAATGGGAATGCAGTAGTTATTAATATTAATTACACCTGTGCTTTCCCTGCTATGACATGTCAAAATGTCCGTTGTTAAAATAACTTTTCCTGAATATTTAGGATTGTATCCACATCGCCCACTCCTACACTACAGGAAAAGCGATTTAAAACAAACTGTGTGTGTGGGAAAAGCTGAAGCGTGCACTGGATGAAAGGTGTTAAGGTCGTATTCAATCTAGATGTTATACTGTTTAATTACACTAGACTGTACAGATGTTCATGATATTATTTCCACCGTTGAGGGTAAAGAGAGTACGATCAAAGGAGACTTAACTTTGTTCTTTCAAACTGGACCTAATATTATAAAAACAACAAATTTGTGCCATACATGACTGAAAATTAGTTTTTTGTTCCTACACATGTATGTCTGTACCCCAGTTAACAGGAAGTCGACATATTTTGCTTGTCATGATTAGAGTGCAGTCACCTCCATCAACGCCTCACTCTGATTCGCTTACTCTTATCATGACATGCCGATTGTGTGGTGTCCCACGTTCACCGTCAGCTGACACCGAGCGTGGGCTCCGGCTAAATTAACGGTACTAATGAGAGCTGACAGCTAACACAGAGTGGGAGTGTAGTGTCAAACCCAGCATGGAGGGTCGATTCATAACTCACACAAGAGGAGGAGTGAAAGGTTGGGAGCAGTTACTCACACACAACCGAGTCTCCCACTGATGCCTAAAACTGTCTGGTTAGTCACACAGACATTAAAGGGATAGTACAGGTTTTTTGAAGTGGGGTTGTATGAGGTACTGAATCATAGTCAGTGCATTACATACAGTGGATGCTGGTTGGCATGTCCAAGTTTGGAGAAGCAGGCTAGAGTACTGACACCAAAGATAAACGATGTACTGCTGTGGACAGGGGCACACAAATAGTTCAGATTCACCAAAGTCACACAGTAACAGCCGAGGCCAAACTCCTGTGTTCTGTGAGGTAAAATTACTGTTTCTGTCAATTGAGTCTGGCTTTGAAGAGAGTCTCTGTCTGATGGCAAGGTAAAGCAATTAAAATATTCAAAATATAGTGCCCACTTAAACGGATTCTGATTTTTTTTAGATGGCTAAAATATGTTTTGCTGTTACCCTCATCCACAGCAGTACACTGTTAAGCTCCCATGGCGGTACACCTGCCTGCTCCTCCAAACTGGGGGCATGCTGACCCACCATCTACAGTAGGTAATACACTAACTATGGAGAAGTACCTCATACAACCCCACTTCAAAAAATCCAAACTTTCCCTTTAACAGAAGGGCAGGAGACTGAGGTGGCCTACTAATGACTAATAGAGGTCACTGACTTTCAAGTGGGACTCCTTGGAGAATAGACCAATGAGGCAGAACTAAAGAGTGTCTCATTTGAAACTGCAGATTTTTTTACTGTGATGTAGGTGACGAAAAAATATTTAGCTGACAGTAGTGCAAATCAAAAGATGGAGAGACACAAGGGTCAGATTTCCGTAGCGGCGATCTCATCAAAGTTGATCTCGTTGCCGCTGCCCTCATCCTCCTCTCTGCTCTCCAGTTCCTGACTGAGCTCCTGCAGGAGCTGCTCCAGCTCTCGGTTCCTGCGATACATCTGCACATAGTTCTGCTGCAGCTGCTTCTGGTAGCGGATAACTTTGTCCTTTTCCTCCTGCCATATCCTGCGCTCCTCCTCGAAGCCTCCCGTTTGCTCCTCGGCTCGCTGACGCTCGAAGGCCAGCTCAGCCCTCATTCTGTCCATCTGCACCTTCATGTTCTGCAGCCCCTCGCTGCTGCTCTGCCGCTGGGCCTTCGCCTCATCACTCTCATAGGCCAGCAGGTGCTCCTCTGCTTCCTGGAACACCTGACACTGTCTGTTTCCTGGGCCCTGATTGGCCAAAGCATCTCTGAGATGAACCAACTCTCCCTCGAGGCGACCTACCTTTTCTCTGAGCAGCTCCGCTTCGCTTTTGCGACGCTGAAGCTCGTTTTCACACACCTCCAGCTCCAGGGTTCGTGTGCGGGTTGTGCCGTGGGCCTCCTGGAGCAGGACCTGGGTGTTTGTGAGCTCGCCACGAGTCTCTCTGAGTTGACCTCGCAGTGAGACGATCTCTCCCACACGTTGGGCTAACTCTCCCTGCACCTCCTTCAGCTGCTGCTTCAGCAACGAGATTTCCCCCGACTTCTGACAGACCTGAGGGAGAAGAGAAACAGTTCAGGATGTACATGTGGCTCAGTGAAGCAAAGACAAGTACATTTCTTTTTCTTTCATTTGCACATTATTTTTATGAATTGTTTGGTTTGTAAAATGTCAGAAAATGGTGAAAATCGTCACAGTATTCAAGAGCATATTTTGCTAGGCACATTTTGTGTGCCTAGCATTTAAAAATCCAAAGATATTTAACTTACTATCATAGCAGGCAAATAAAAACAGAAAAAAACAGGCATTTTGCTTAAAATGTGTGACTTTATTAGCTGATTATTCAGTTAATAGACATAATAATTAATCAGCAACAAGTCTGATAGTTACCAATATTTGTTGATTAATTTAATGCTAATGGACTGATTGAATCAAACTGATAGTTTCAGATCTAAAAACATATAAAATCTAGTGGCGGCCTAATTGAAAACCTTTTCAGAAGGTTTAAGTAAACCAAAACCTAACTCACAACGTATTGAGCAACAAACACATCTATTGATGTTGGATCTTTGTCTGGTTAAAGTAAAACTACCTTCTCACACTCAGCTGAATTTCAATACGTCATTGAGTCTCTACGCTGATGACTGTTACACTCCTGGTCTACAAAACCTTCTTTGAACAGCACAGTGACTCATGTCTTTCTTGTCATCAGAAGTCAGTAACAGCAGCTGAGTTATCAAAGAGGCTTCATGTATCCTCCCTTTTATGAAAAAGACAATGATCAATTAATCAGTCTCGAGGATTAAATACACTGAGAGTCTCAGATCTTTAGACTTACAGGAATTATTCCTTGTGGCACAATTAATTATCTCAAACAGCAGAGAGGATCAATTTTACTATTGATCTGTGTCTGGAGCTCTTAAAGTCGCAGAGGCAGCATGTACTGTTCGTCTGCATGACTGATGACAACTGATTATTTGCATCTTATTAAAGGTTTGTCCCCCTGCTCTCACATGGACAAACAAACCCCTAATTTTGTTGCAGTTATGACAGTGATGACGCCCCAAAAGATCACCATCCACAAGACCATTTTAACCTCTTGTATCAAATGAACGAATGAGTGATCTTTTTATTATAGAAATAAACATAACCATATATGTGTTATGGAGATCTGCCATGGTCAGATTGATGCTTTACAGTAGAAGTCCTGGTTTAATATGTGCTTATAACAGCGCTTAGAGTAATAAGAGTGAGTTTAAGGCAGGATGGGAAACTGTTAAATCAATAAGGGATGTGATGGCACCATGATAAACTTTACAGCCCAAAGCTTTTCTTTTTCATTGTGGTCATAACCCTGCAACTCATAGCAAGTTGGAAGTCGATAATTCCGACTCAGCTTTCCCGACCTCCGCTCTAAATGGGTACCAGTTCACTTGCTTAGTAAAACATGGACTCCCACAGCAAACTGATATTTGTATGTCACGTTTTGAGCCTCAGACGCTTCATACATCCGAGTACAATGGATTGCAACATTACTGCACTTGCTGAATAAAATTTAAGTTTAAGAAACTCCAGTTGTGCCACTCACCTCCCACTTGCTCTCCTCCAGTCGAGGCCCCAGCTGGATCTTCTCGTGCTCATAGGAGGTGCAGCGCTCCTCTAGCTGCTCCCGCTCCTTCAAAAGCTGAGCAAAGTCCTCCTGCAGCTTCTTCTTCTCCTGCTGGAGCTGAAAAACCTGCAGCCATAAACACAGCCAGGATCACTACAAGGTGACTCAGCAGTTCCTACAGGGAGCAGGGGTCTCATTTGTAAAACAATGAGTAGGAACCGTACCAAAAATGGTGCGAGTGCCAAAAATTATTCGACAGTTTCTATAATCAGGCTTCCACCTCACCATCTGCGTCGCCAATTTCCTGTCTCCAAAGTGTTCGTTAGCATGGGTCAAAGTTTCTCCCATATATATCACAACATTGGCGTGAGAAGTGGTGTACGCCTCTTTCAGGGTTTGTTTTGTGCGTACGCAATGTTTATAAAAGTGACTCCAGGTCTTAAAAAATAGTTCTGAAATGAGACCACAATGACCAAAACTCAATTTGATACGATTTGATTTTTACAATTCACATTAACTTACAAATATTACTTTCATGGCTCCGGCAAGCACTGATGTTTTGTTTGGTCATGTTTTACTGTGTTTGTAGAACAATGACAGCACCATTTTTGTGTAGTAGAACTTGGTCAAGCTTTTAGTCAGAGGTTCTGACCTGCAACTGAAGCACCTGCTGTGCACGCTGGGACTTCTGTGAGGCGACCTGCATCCTGGTGGCACAGCTCTGCCTCAGCTCCTCCAGCTCCAGCTCAAAGCGCTTCTGCTTCTCCTCATAAACCTGCAACCAAACACAGGACAACAAAGTCAGTACAACGCAGAGGTTCTGTCTTTGAAAGAGGAGTTTGTAGTTGTTCACTGTGTTGATTCTCCAACGTAGCTTCATGTGTGTCTCTCTGTTAAAACACTGATCAAGATGTCAAGTGAAGTCTGAACCACACCATCTACCAACCTGACAAATTGCAGCTTCATTCTCATCCAGGTTGTCTCTGAGTTGCTGCAGCTCCTGCTCTCTCTCCCTCAGTTTATCCTCCAGGTCCCTCACCACCCCCTCGTAACCCTCCACCGGGCCAGGGGAGCGCCCGGTGGACCCGCTGTCAGACAGAGGTTGTCCTCGGCCACTTAATGAGCCAGAGCCTGTACTCTTACTGGAGGACGAGCGCCCGCTGTCTGAGTTGGAGTGTCCGTGTCCGCTGACTGGTGGGGCGCTTTTCATGGGCTCCAGGTGGCCAGCAGAGGCCTCTCCTGATGCCAGGCTGTAGCCGGCGCTGCTGTAAGGTGGGAGGCTGGAGAGGGAGTTGCGTCCAGAGTCGGTCAGTTGGCAGGAGTGGCTGCTGCCGCCTCCGCTGTTACGGGCTCTGCTGTGCGCGCTGCTTTTCTCAGAGCAGGAAGGCGACGCCTCTATGTGTGTGGGGCTCAGCAGGTTCAGATTGTTTTGGCTTTCGGATACATTGGCACAATGGCGAGGGGAGAGGTATTGCATGGAGGTACGGCTCTTGGGAATGACGGGTTTGAAAGCAGTGGGTCGCAGCACTGTTTTCTCCATGTTCTAGAGAAGGAATACAAAATGGGAGTGTTGAGGCAAGAACAAGAACATCTGAAATAAAGTACCAGAAAATTAATATCACTTCAAACTAATTTTTGGATCACACTGGTAATGCTAACTAAAATGATCACTAACTCAACTCATGATTTTCACTATTTAGAAGTTTAAGTCAAGACAAACTCCATCTGCTGAGAAAATATATCTGGATATACACTCAGTTGACAGTTTAGTCGACACAGCAGGCTAAAACTAATGCAGTCTAATACAACAGTCCTGCCATAACTGGCACCTTCATCAGGTTTTAATTTTCCGTTTTTGTTGAAAAGAGAGGTGAGATGGGTGTTTCTCTTATTTTGTCCACACCATTTATATCCATGAGGGAAGGTAAATAAGAGAAACATATTCAATACACTTTATCAGCACCACAAACTATCTGATTTTGACATAAAATGTAAAAGTAAACTTTTCATTTATTCAAAGACTGACCTTCTCAAGTTTTCCTGACACAGGAATCAGTTTTGGAGGAGGTCCGCCCATGTTACCATTCAACCCTGATCCTTTAGTCTCATCAGCGTCACTTCCTGGGCTCGCGCGTGTTGCATGGTTTTCATTCCAGTCACCTACGTAGTCCTCATTCAGATAGGTATAGTTCCCATTCCCACTCTCCTTCTCCAGCCCCCTGCTGGATGTCGTGGAGCTCTGTTTCTTCAGCGGCGGGATGTTCTGCAGTAATAAGGAATCCAGGGGTGAATCGGAGCCCAGGCAGGAGGCGCCTGGTGTGGGCCGTCGGACCCTGGCTCCCAGCTCACCGATAGGTCGGTGGTCCTGGTAAGGACCCGGGCGGCTGGCGATGAGGCTGCTCACAGACCCCATAGGATCCAGAGTGGAGGATGGTGCGTTGAGGGGGGGTGAAGAGCCAGAGGGGTGTCTCCTGCGGGGTCCTCCACTGAGGCCGGGGTTGTGGGGCTCAGCAGATATGGGCAGAGCCTGAACCAGGGCCATGGTGGCAGCTCAGAGGGGTCACTCGCTCTGGGAGAGAGAACATTACAAAGATGAGGCTTTAATTCATGATAATACAATTATTCTCAACGACAGTTATTTTTTACCAGAGCTATTTTCATGTCCTTGAGAGCAAGTCTCAAGTCATTTGAAACAAGTCCAAGTCAAGTTTTGTCAGTACAAGTTTTGTCAGAAGACTTGACTTTGACTTGTCCTTCAGGACCTGAGACTTGCAATTACAAGTCTAAAGTTTAGTCTGAAGTCCTCCAAGACAAGTCCAAATAGGTGTTGCAACAGCAGGTCTCTAATTCGTAAGAACAAGTTGTTGAAGTCAGAAGTCATACAATAAGAAGTCTCAAATCTCTCCCCAGCTCCTCCTGGGGGACCCAAAGGCGTTCCCAGGCCAGATGAGATATGTAATCCCTCCAGCGTGTTCTGGGTCTGCCCCGGGGCCTCCTACCAGTGGGACGTGCCCGGAACACCTCTAACAGGAGGCGCCCAGGAGGATCCTGATTAGATGCCCGAAACCACCTCAACTGACCCCTTTCAATGAGAAGGAGCAGCAGCTCTACTCCGAGCTCCCTCCGGATGTCCGAGCTCCTCACCCTATCTCTAAGGCTGGGCCCAGCCACCCCACGGAGGAAACTCATTTCGGCCGCTTGTATACGTGATCTCATTCTTTCGGTCACTACTCAGAGCTGATGACCATAGGTGAGGGTTGGGACGTAGATGGACCAGTAAATCGAAAGCTTTGCTGTTATCATAGTGCCTGGTCTGTTTCTTATTGTGTATAACCAAGTTTTGCTAATGGGGAAGACTCGTTCTGAAATCTCAAGAGAGGTGACTTGTTGCAGTAAGACAGTGGTGGAAATGTTAGTGAGAGGAGTGCCAGGAAAAATGTGTTGGAGTACAGAGAGCAAAGCTTCATTGTGCGCTGCTGTCTTGGCCAGGTCTCCCTTGTAAAAGACATTGTTGATCTCAGCAGGACTTGCTTGGTAAAATATGGGTTAAAGAAATAGAATAAATATTTTAAAAAAAAACATGAGAAAATAGGGTCCACATTCACAAATACCAAAGTTGTCCTTCATGAAAAAGTCTCAAGGAAGGCCTCACGTCATTTGAGCAAAGTCTAAGTGAAGTCTCAAATCATTAGAGACATTCAATGATGAGTCTAATGTAATAGAAAACAGATATAAGACAAGTCTCAGGTTGTTAAGGATATGTTCAAGTCTTCATAAGCAAATTGCAAGTCATTTGCAAGTGTTTAAGGCCTCTGACTGCTGACCATTAAAATGACTAAGTATTTGAACATTTTTCTGTCCAAACTGTTGTGTTGGTTTTTTTTTTTTTTTTTTTTTTTACAGAGCTGAAACAAAGACCGTCCTCTGATTTTTAATAATCCCATCTCAGACACTAAATACTGGTTGAAATTGCATGTTTTTCTCTGTCTTTCTGATAAGGTCAGATTCTATCTGTTCAATCACCACACCAGGGTGCTTTCAAGGATTTTTTCTACTATCAACTACAACAGAAGCAAAGCAGAGATGATATACAGTAGACTGAAGCAAACAAATGTCCCACAAGACCATGGTGGCCCACACACAGAGAACCAGGACAGGCCATTCATGAAGCCCATTCAAGCAGCACAAACAGGGCTCTAGGCGTGAGGCAGCAGGAGAAAAGGGTCTCTTTTCATTTGAGATGTAAAATGGCTCCTTACATGCTGGCATTTCCCCTGACAGCAACAAAGGCTACTGTCTCCACATATCTGATCAGCCCGAGGAATAACTAAAAGTTCATAACTGTGGATAATAGAAACACAGAGACGAGGAGACAGGTTGAACTTGCTGTGATACTGTAGCAGTGGGTGTTTAAAGTTGCTGAGTAAATCCTACAGTGCACAAAAAAATATAGAGTTGTGAGAAATATAACGACGTAGGAGGCACTTACTGTTTCACTCCCTCGCTCTCACAGGAATGCTGGTAAATATTGACACTATTAACAGGCGCATACCGACTGTGATGACAACACTGAGTCCCGTGTATGGTGAAGAGTTGAGTGTTGTGTGGAGAACAATGGCCAACAGGACGCATGATGATGAGGTCATGGTGCACTCAGACAACACCAAACAACAGAGCCAGTTGTGCTCTTAAAAACATCACATTGACTCACAGAACATGAGGATATCCGACTGACGGGTGCGTCCTGTTCTTGAGTTTCAGGCTCGTCTAGCAAGTCGCACAAGATATGACAAAAGGTTTTAAAGTATGGCAAGACTGCAGTTCACACTACATCACTCGCAAATTTAGTTTGTTAGAAAATCCCCGCTATGTAGAGAAAAAAACAGGACTTTCTCCTCTTGTTCCACCTAGTCTGCACACCTCTTCACCTGAGGGGAAGACTGTCCGTGTTCGCTAATAAGGTGACTGACAGCAGGCATGCTGGCCAGACACACTTCCAGACTCCACCTGCCAGGACAGGACCATGCCAAGTCATTTTCCAACCTGCCAATTTTGCTAAGAGCCTACAAGACTACCGCAGTGATTTAACTGTGATTACCACACGTTAATTAGCTCATTTATTGTCAGGCTGATCCCTTCTTAAACTCATAATAACTGACTGAGACAAATCTGTTGCAGCAACATGTTGTTATGATATGCAAACACTGTGAAACGACAAAGAAATTTCATGTTCTAGTATCATGTGTGCAGCAGCATCTGTTATTGATTGTGGTGCTTTTTAAAATGGGATTCTTCCTCTGTCATAGGCGTGGTACAAGTTTAACAAAAAAAGTGTTCAGCACAACCATGATGGGTTCCTCAGCCTCTCCAGATTCAGTGCAACCTTGTCCAATCATTGCAACTTTTCAGCACAATTTACCAACCACCGTGGTGTGCAATGATGTTGCCAAACTAATTATCTTGTTGCTGACAAGGACACCAAAACAGAGGGAAGGGTCATGATGTCACATTTTGCGTTGGTGCAGACTTTAGTGCCACTTCTACTGAAGTTAATGAGGCGGGCATGGCAAGTCCTTCTTGCACTGTGTGCAACGTTGTGATGGAACACACCAGGAGAGTGGCTGAAATGCGTGGACAACAGACAAAGACAAACGCCACGACAGAGGCTGTTGCATCCAGGGGTAGGATCCGTAGGATCCATACTACGTAGGATCCATACTGAAAATGTACACATGGATAAAGCCAAAAATGGCGTGCACCAAAAAATGTTTAACAGTTTCTACAGTCAGGCTTCCACCTCACCATCTGCACTGCCAATTTACCATCTCCAAAATGTCCGTAAGCGTGGGTCAAAGTTTCTCCCATCTAGTCTGTTTTTATACATCACAACTTTTGCGTGTGACATGATGTACGCCTCTTTCAGGCCTCATTTTGTGCTTACACAATGTTTACAAATGAGACCCCAGATCTGTTGAAAGTGCTGAAAGAATCTAGGCAAGACAGATTAAATATGCATTGTTAGTGGTAATGTTAGTGTAGTATAAATCACACTCTCGGAACACTGCAGTTTAATTGCCATTGGAACAATTCGCCTTTGATTTTTAATGAATTATACAAAAATTAATAAATAAATGAATAAAATATCCCAACTATTCTTCTTCTATTCTATTAGAAAACGCCTAAAATTGCAAATTTTTAGAAAAGCTGCTGTAAAATCCAGCATTTTAGGCCTCAACAATCCCAAAAAAACAATAGCCTTCAAAATCCTGGAGGGACTGATACCTGTATTACTGCATTCAAACAAACAACTGCACAGCAGCAAATTATTATCTAAAATCCATCTGCTCATTGTCTCGTGGGACAGAATTTAACACGTGTCATCAAAGACTCATGCTGCACACTTCATTTACTACCTCAGTGTCTGTATGGAGGAGAACGCAAGTAACTGGCAGCAGGCGCAGCATGTGGTGTTTGGGAGGCAGAATTAACGGTGCTAATGAGCAGAGCCAGCAGGATTAATCTTATGTGATTTCTCTATGCACTGAGAAAAGCTAATTAGTCCGTGACAGTATTTATTACAAATAATCCTTTCAGAATAGGAGGAAATGAGACTAAGTACGGCACTAAGCTAATGGCAGGAGTTTGTTACAAACTGCAGCTGTCAGAAGGAGCCAGTTTACTCAAAATGTTTCAGTCATAAGTGTCCTCCTTGCTGGTTTAATGTCAGTGAGCTCATGTGGTGTTGAGTAGGAAGAACAAAAATAATCCCTATCAGACACAGAGTATGGAGAGAAGGAGAGGCTGCATCACTCATGCCTGTTTTGCATCATCCCCTTTTTTTCACACACTGTATGTGAAGGGCTCTGCTGGACATTTATTCCTTCATCCATGCAGCTGGCATGAATGGAAATTAGACATATTGTCAGATTATTACTTTGGTTGTACAAGGATTTTTTTAATCTTATTTGCCCGGGAAAAATAGTTTTTACAGACTGATCTGATGAGAAAAATCTCAATTTAAGATTGGCTGTTTTTCAGCATTTCATAAATTACTGGTTTTACTTTCTTTGTGCAAACGAGATGAAGACTAAGATAAAACTTTCATTACAATGACCTTCGAAAGCATAATAAAATGTGTATTCAGTCTTTACATGTGTGTGTTTAACTTCGTGCTGCTGCATGTTATTCTGATCATATTTGGTTCATCGGAACTGTTATGTTAAAGATAATAATTCGCAACTTTTCTGCATTAAAATGTCTAAAAACAACAAGACCAAAGTTATATATTTTATTGAGCTGTGCAATTATGTTATCCCAAACTATGTTCAAACCCAGAAAATCTGTAATTTTAATCAAGGATATCATCTGTGTCATTTGGTGGGTGTCGCAGACCATATCAGCATCATATCATATAAAGAAAAAAGGTGAGCATACATTAGCAGGTGGAGAACCATGGATTTGTAACATCAAATTGTTTTATTTAGTGTTTTTACCAGCTTTAATCACCTGGTCCATATGTTCAGGAGAGGAATTATCTGCGGATAATTAGGCTCCCTGTGAAAGACTCCT